GTAGGAGGTCAGCATGCTAGTCGGCTTGGAGCTCTCTACTCTTCTTGGGCATCTACGGTGGAGCAGGTCATCACTACACATCACGGCGTTGGTATCTCTGGAGGCACTACGAGGGGTCAGGGTCCTTTCTTTCGGGTGGTTGAAATGAAGGCTCCTGATAAAGCTCGGGATCAACCTCTACACGACGTCGTGGCTAGTTGGTGGGGGCGTCTTTCCACCGTGCTCACCTCTCTCAGTAAGCATCGCAGTCGAGGCAACGGGGTCGCACAGCAGGCGCAGCTAGTCCAGGCCTGTGCCTCCAGGGGTGCACGTTCCTCTTTTGCGAATTCCAGATCCAGATGATAGCTCTCGGCAGGCGGCCTGGAGCACATGGCAGGACAAGTTACATCGCATTGCTTCTATTTCCGACGGCTCCGTCGAGCGACTTGCTCTGGCAGCCAGGCGTGTCGCAGGCCGCGCTAGGAGTCGGGCTATTTATTCTTCTTTGCGTGAGTTTCGGAACTGGATTACTACTTCGGAGGCTCCTGGCATTCTACACAAGTCTCTTAAGAAGGTTCCCCCAGTTCCCGACGAGATTCAGTTCAATGGCAAAACCCTGTTCCATCCCATGGACATCGTCGACCACAAAACTAAGCGATGGCACGATCTCTGGAGCTCCCAACCAGTCCCGATTTCCGACATCTTGGGTATGTTCCAGGATATTCGCGAGGCTGCGGCTGTGGAGCAGCTGGGGCCCTTGTCCGTCGAGCGCGTCCAGCGCGCCTTGCGCTCCATGAAGGCCAAAGCAGGACTCGGGGTTGACAACCTCAGCCCAGTAGATATGGGACGTCTTCCCCTCCCAGGTTTGGAGGAGTTGGTTTCGGTTTTCAGTGCCTGTGAGGAGTGCCTTTCCTGGCCCTGGCAAATTTTGTTGGTTGTCGGTCGGCTCCTGGGGAAGAAAAACGGGGGAGACAGAATCATGGGACTCATGTCTATGTTTTCCAGGACCTGGTCATTGGCCCGCGAGGACGAAGTTAGATTATGGTCCAAGGATTCGGAGCCAGCCTGGGGCGCTGCGATCGCAGGCAACTCGGCGCTCCGTGAAGTATTTTTACGTGCTCTTCAAGACGAAGGGCTCGCCAGATTGGGTTGTGCATTCGGAGAGGGGCTATTGGACATCAAGGGGTTTTACGATGCTATGGGGTGGATTCCATTGGCCAGGTCTGCTCTTAGAATGGGGTTTCCCCCCGCGGTCCTCGCCCTGGAGCTCCAGATGTGCATGGCCCCACGCGTCTCATCCCAGCTTGGTTCTTTCTCTCAGGCGTTCCAGCCGTGGCAAAGTATTATCCAGGGGCTTCGGAGCGGCACCAGATTTGGGAGGTGTATGGTTTATTATATTCTCATGAAACTTACCACTACGCACGTTAATATGTCATATCGTATTTGGGTCGACGATTTGACTCAGCACACGGCTGGTTCGCGAAGAGCTGTTCGTGAGAGTTTGTACCAGGGCATCCTGGGCACGTGCACCACGCTGCAAGAGCACGGACTCCAGATCGCCAGCAAGAGTGCTGTGCTTTGTTCCCACGCCGCTGACAGCAAGGCGGTGGTCCGTCGGCTTCGACGCCGAGGTTTTGATCTCCAGCACGCTCTGCAAGCAACCTGTTTGGGTGTCGATTTGGGGGCAGGCAGACTCGCTAGAGCAACGAGGAGGCAGAGAGTCATCAAGGCAACGGCAATGAACCATAAGATACGCAAGTTCGCTCGCCCGAGTCGGAAGTATCGTACCACGGGGCTTCTGGAACGGGCGGGTGCTCAGGCTGCAGGGGCTTATGGACATCAGATTTCAGGTGCTTTTGGTGAGTTTCGGGTCCAATGTCGTCGACGATTGGGTGCTACTCTTGCTTCTTCTAAGCGTGGGCGTTGCCTCACTACTTTGCTTGACTTGCGTGCCGACGGGCACGATCCCGAATGCAAGTTGCCGCGCGATGGGCTTCAGCTGTGGTTGAGAACCTGGCTGAGCGAGCCCAATATTCGCGCTCCTGTCCGTGCTGCCTGGCCTGGGCTTGTTCGCCAGCTCCGTGAGCTAGCACCTCAGCAGATTTCTCGGCATGTACGGGGGCCCATCTCGTCCATCATTGCCTACTTACTTGAGTTCGGGTGGGGCCCAGAGTCTCCAACAAAGTGGCATTCACCAGCTAGCTATGAAGACGCTGGGGGTACGTGGTCATTTCCCGATGAACTCGTCACCAGCTCTGAGGACATTAGCGGTTTGCTCACCGAGTTCGAGGGGTCCATCAGGTCCAGGCTATGGGTAAAGGCTTCTAAACATTACTGTGGTGAAGGGCTTCAAGGTGGGGCTGACAACGGCTCCCTCAGGCAGCTCCTGAAGGTTCTTAGTGGTGTGCCTCATGGGGCCAAGCTCTCGGAGGCCATGTTGGTTATTGCTATCGGTGGGTCTTGGCAGTTATCCAGGGTGAAGGGCGAGACGGGTGCCATCAGCGACGACACGTGTCCCAGGTGTGGCCAGGACTCCGAAACTCCTCTTCATCGGGGGTGGACTTGCCCAGCTAACAATGGGCATAAAATCTACTCGTCCTCGGACCACCTTCTTCCCAGGGCCCTGGCGGGCCAAGATGCCGAACCGGGTTTTTGGTTTCGTGGTCTCATTCCGAGTTCTTGGACGCAGGTACCCGCTCCGAGCGCCGACGAGGCGTGGGAGCATTTCTCTTCTGTAGGTGCACCGTTCAGCGAGCACGCGCTCGGCATCGGTGTGATCGACAAGCCTCTGCTGGTCTTCGGAGATGCCAGTGGGGGCGTGGATTCCAGAGACCGACGGCTTCGGCGCGTCGGAGTGTCAGCTGTTGTCGTTCGTGACTTCGATCACCCCGCAGTCGGTTCAGCCATCTTCGGACCTCTTCCTGGAGCTGCTCAATCGGTCCCTCGGGGTGAGTTGTGGGGATTCCTCCTGGCGCTCAGGCACTCTCGAGGGCCCCTCGTGTACGTCACGGATAATAGTGGTGTCTCTGATGGGTGTTATCAGGGATTCTGGAGGGCCCCGCGCGGGGCCAATGCCAACGTTTGGAAGGACATTGCTCGTGAGATGCAGTTTCGCGACCCGTCGCAAGTTTGTGTCGTGCAGATACCGTCACATATTGAAGCTGAAGAATTCTCGAGTTCCCGCTTTCCAGAGTTTCTGATCATCGGAAACCACATGGCCGACGAGTTCGCTGGCCTTGCTGCAAAAAAGTGTCGAGTGGATGCTGAAACCAGGTTTCGAGCTGCTAAAGCAGAGGTTGACGCCAACCTTGTCCGTCGCAGGCTCCTGCGTGCCACCCTCGAGGCCATGGCTGCGAGACCGTCGCCCGCCAGGCCCCGACCTACGACCAGGCCGCCGCCTCCTCCCTCTCCCTCCTCCTTGGCTCTCTTTTCGTCCCAGCATCGGCTCTGTGACGTAGGGAATCGTTGTGATAGGTGTGGGGGATGCGCGTCTAGGGACACGCTCACTACTTGGAGGAATTCGGAGTGCTTCGATCTCATCAGTGTAGGCTCGAATAAGTTTCAGTTGCCGAGGGGGAAGATGGTCCACATTGGAGGGGGTTGGGTACACCCGTCCCACATGCTAGTGTATTCCGCCACCCTCAAGGTTTGGATTTGCAGCATTTGTGGTTTCTTCGGAAGCGAGCAGCTCCGAGCGAATTTGGCCGAGGCATGCTCGAAGCCTCTCAATCCTGTTCGTCGGCGGTATCTCGCGAATTTCGAGGCAGGGCAATGGCCCAACGATCAGGGTTCGAACCGAGCTAAGCCCTCGTAGTTCGTTCTCTCCTAGTATCGCACCGCGATAGAGCCCATTCCATTCCATTACTCTCTCTCTCTACACCACCCTGTGTGGTTGATACTCGTCATGACATGTCCCTGTGTGGTTGTCTCGTCATGTATACGCACGGTGGTTTCTATATCTACTAGGTTCACGCTGCCTCTCTCGCTTTCTCTGTACACACATACGCATACACAGGCATGTGCTCTATAATTCTGCTGCTGCACGCACATATTGGACTGAAGGGTGCCGCTCACACGAAGTCGTTCCAAGTCGCTCACAACTTGGCTTGTTGGCAAGGCGCGCAATTGCCATAGCGATCGTGCTGCTGCTATTCTCCCTCTGGCTGGGGGGGGGAGGGTACGGGGGGGGGGAGGTTGGTGGGGTGGAGGGTGCGGACAGTGGGGCCGAACCACGCGTTTCCGCAGAAGCGTGCGTCTCCTGGCGCAGAGCCCGCACGGGACCTAACAAGTGTTCCAAGTCCCGATTGAACAGAAACCGCATTCCGCAATGCGCATGCCTCTACAATGCGTATGGTTAGAGCACGCTGCATATTATATGCATGTATATATGTATGCATGTTGGATACAGTTTTCTCTCGACGTCCCTCCATCACTCTCCTTCTCTGCATCTCTCCTTCTCTCTCTCACTCTCAATCTCGTTTTCTCTAAATCTCTCTCTCCCTCTGTCGCTCTCTCTCACCCTGTCTCTTTCGTTCTTTCTCTCTCTCTCTCTCCTCCCCCCGTCTGTCTCTCTCTCTCTCTCTCTCTCTCTCTCCCTTTCTCTCTCATCCTCTCTCTCTCTCTCTCTCTTTCTCGCTCCCTCACTTCCCATCACTCGCCATCCCTCCCCCTGTAGTAATGAATACGTGAGCAGATGCGTGTAAACGTAGATGCTGCCTCGGTGTGTACATATGGATTACATGATGTTTGGATTATTGCCGTCCGACTCGGCATCGGCCGCTACAGTGTATATATATATAGACATAAGATATAAGTACAAACTTGCACACACATGTATACACATGCTGATACATATAAATGTGTATGGGTATGTGTGTATCGGTGAAGGTGTGTGTATATGTATGTATGTGAAAAAAAGGGAGGCCGCTATGGATCACTATCTATCCCTTCTCCCTCTCCCTCCCTCCCTCCCACCCTCTCTCGCGCTCTCACACTCAATCGGGCAGGAACCAAAGGCGGCCTCAGGCGTGAGGAGGCGGCATGCGGCGGTCGGCAGAGGCGTACGGAGGCATCTGCACCTCCTCGTCGGCAAGGAGGCCCCACTTGATGTAGTCCTCTGTCTCGGCTGCTTTGTACTCGTCGCTGAGGGAGACGACCCTCTCGCGGGCGTGGTCGAACTCGTCCAGGCTGTCCGCGAACAAGCTCTCCTGCCTGTAGTTCTCCAGGAAGGCGTTCCGCGATCGCAGCTTGTCGTACTGCTTGACGCAGCGGTCGAAGAGCTGCGAGATGGCCGTGTGGTTCGCCATCATCAGTCCACTGACCTTGTGCGTGTGCTGCACGTAGGGGCTCTGCTTTGACAGCGCCACCTGTATGCTGGCAGGGCCCCAGTTGATGAACTTGGCCAGCTTCCGCTCCCGGATGCGCTGCAGGCTCTTGTGCACCTGAGTGGGGTCAACTTCGCCCTGGATTATGTTGAGAATCGATATGTATACTCCGCGACGGGTTGAGCACGAAACCATGATGTTCTTGGTGTGGAGCAAGCGACGCATCACATCTAGGACCGTGGTCTTGCGGATGGTCGAGGTCTGGTTGTCGAGCGTCAGCGGCGTGTAGCCGGTCATGAGAAAATGGCACCTGGGCGTCGGTATCAGCGAAGCTAGCATACCGATGAGGTCATTGTTCATGTACCCAGGGTACCTTAACGTGGTGGTACTCGAAGCCATGACTGTGGACACCAACGAATTTATTTGAGCAAACGTCGGGGTCTGTAACTTCAGCCGGTCCATCGCTATTCTGTTGAGCGCAGTGTTGTCGAGAACGACCACACAGTCTGCATTCAGCGTAAGCCTTTTCAGCGTCAGGACGGAATTATAAGGCTGTACTACAACGTCACTGGTCTCAGTTGACAGCAGCGGGAACACCGAGTACGTCTGGATCAACTTCTTAGGATACCTGTCATTGACAGCCTCGAGCAGGTAGGACCCCATACCAGAGCCAGTCCCACCAGCGATGGAATGGATCAACACAAACCCCTCGAGACTGTCACTCCCGTCCGCCTCCCGGTCGACCATGTCGAAGACCTCCTCCTGAACCTTCTCGCCGCAAGTATACCCCTTTGCCCAGTTATTCCCAGCTCCACCTCCTTCCTTCGTCGCGAGGAATATGTTCTCTGGATTATACAGATGCCCATATTCGGAGGACTGGATGGTATCGATCACTCTGGGTTCCATGTCTATTAGCAATGCCCGAGGGATGTAGTGATCGTCGTCGGCTTGGTAAAAAAATACGTCCTTGCGGTCGTCGCCCAACGTCGCGAAGTCCTCGAGAATACCCCTCTCATTGATGCCGTGTTCCGCGCACAGTAGCTTCCAGAACTCGGACCCGATCTGGTTCCCACACTGCCCCACCTGCAGTGTGATGATCTCGCGCGGCATCGCAGATCAGCTCCTGGGGAGCCCAACAACAAGACTGCGATTTTTGCTGAGTAGTCGGCGCTCCTCTCGCCGAACGTTCCCCCCCTCGAGTGCTGAGCCGACTGCTTGCAGGAAGTATCAGAGAACAGAGTAGCAGCTTATACTCATGGGGGTGGCTGGCTTCCGAAGCCCGAGCTGCGCCACTCGCCCAGATATGTTTTGGGTTAGGCCTGGGGCATGCACGACTCAAGCGGCTGCATAGGCCGTTTGGGAACTTACGCTCGAATTCTCTGGGACATCACCGATTCACCACACGCCTCTGAAACTCCGTCAACAATTCTGACTGGCCTCTCCCGCTTCTGATCGGCATGGATATGATTCAGTTCCTGAAGCGCGAATGATGGCGTATGGCAACGTCTTGGCACCATGTGTTGGCGCCTTCCGCTTGCATGCATGAATGGCCCAGTGCGAACCTAAGTCGTAACATCTCAGTGCATCGCACTGCATTGCTCCACACTGCACTACATCACTCGAGGCTGCACCGCTGAGTTTACACCAAGCTGCCTGCATGTCAAAAGCGACCGGTTAGTCCTAACCCAGCGAGAAAAATATGCATTTCGCACCAATACAATGGTTCCCAAATGCGCAATGTGGTTTCGCCCTGGCCTCGTGGCAAGAGCAAGCTGGAAATGACACCTTTGCCACACATGTTGGCCAACCGATCGTCGACAACCCGTTGTGTTCGGCCAGCGGGCTTTCGTCATATCAACCATCTGCGACAAACGCTCCATGACAGCTCAGTGTCGCGCAAACCCACGAGACACGATGATGCACGCATCTGGACAGTTGACGATGCAATTGCGCACTTGCGAAGTAACTGCTGGTGTGGGGTAATGCGCTTCTAACGTTTCGTGATACGCGCGGTACCCATGATGGCGCTCGAAAACATGACGCCCCGTGCAACCGCAATAAGTTGCACATTGAGACACACGACTCAGAGTAATGGTCGTGGGGATATTGGTGGCGACCGTGGCCATGTACGCGGCGCGAACCGTGCAAGGCAATCGGCTGAACGCGTTTGGCGTACTCCGCCAACACCCTCTCCCCCACCCGATCGGCCACAAACAGAGGATCCCTGCTGACAAAAAGTCAACATGCACTTTGCGGCAGAATGTGGGGTCATATTCGGGCGATCTGCGAGTTCTTTGTACTGACAGACACGGCGGGGGTGCTAGTATTTGGCCTGCTGTGCGCAGGGCCATCATCATTGTCAATACATCATGCGAACTGCACTTCGCGGCTAAATCTGGATCATGCGCGGGCACCCCGCGATAACGTCGAATCGGTTTTTGAAAGGGACGGCGGGTGTGTCGTGGTATCGCCTGCTGCGCAGGCCCACCAGACATCAGAATGGCAACTCCGCCACGATTGTGCATTCGCTCTCGACAAGGATGGTGGGTGCCGACGAGTTTCCCAGTGTACGCCGGCGCACTTGGCACACCCTGCGCGTGACCCGAACGTGGCGCACCTGACGCGGCTGGAGCATGCGGCACACGTGGCGCACGCGGAGCGCGCGGCACATGTGGCGCACACGACGTTCCTGGCACGCTCTAGGCCCAGGGGCGCCTGGCGCGACTGGTGCGCGTGGCGCACCGCGCCCCAGCGTCGCGCACCTGAGGTCTGTATTGGTTCCCAGTATAGCTGCCCATCGAAAAACAACCGCTCAAAGTGCTGAGACCCAGGTGCCACTTTCGTGGTGGAGCCCCATGAGCGCCTCAAGAGGGCCCCGAGAGGCGACTTCTGGGGCTCCAGAGGAGCGATGCGAATTAAGGCTCCACCCTCTTTGACGGATGTCCTCCAACATGGGCCCCGAGGCTCCCAAGAGGGCCTCAAAAAGGCCCCAAGAGAGCGCTCCCAGCTGCGAAGCAGTGCCAGAGAAAGTTACGTTCCACGGCAGTCGAAGCGATCGCCACGGCGCTTGGCACAAGATGTTCAGCGTGCCGTGCCGCGTTCCGCACTTGCCACTCGTGTGTGTGTGTGAGTGTGTGTGTGTGTGTGTGTGTGTGTGTGTGTGTGTGTGTGTGTGTGTGTGCGGTCTGACGGTTCGTCGCAATAAAGGGCTGGAATCACTGCGGACCGAATGGTTCGAGAGTGGAAAATTCGGGCTCGCGTGGGACGAGGGAAGCCAATGCCCCGACCACAAAAAAATCAAGCCCTTGTGGTAGCCCCAACGCCGCGCGCTACCCTTTTTCAAGTTTGGCGCGGCCCGGCAAAAGAAACACTGCCAGCAACAACAAAAACATGCACCATGCAACACAACCGAGCCTGGCCCGCAATTGTGCTTCCAGCATCCCAATCACGTGGACTATGAATCTGTGGGCCTGGCGCGTGGGCGCCAGATCCACGGATCGGGGAAAGCCTCCCCCCCGAAAAAAGAAGCCAGTGCTGCCTCGTTTGGCGGCCGAGCGCGCCGATGTTGCACGGAGGCGGGAACCGTCGCTGATCCACGCGCCCCAAGTGATGGTTGCGCTCCCATCGACCTTCGCTCTGTTCGGGGGCAGCCAAGGGGGGGGGGGGGGGCGTCCAAAAGGGGGGTTGGGGTGGCGCAAATCATGGCCGGCGGACTGTGCGCGGCCACGGGGGGTCGGCGGGGACGTAATGAAGGAAGAAGAGGCGCCATGAGATCTGAGGAAATATCATTACCCACGCCATGACATCCCCTCCCCCCCTTAGTCATCACCCCCCTCTGGGCCCCCCCCGACCCAAGTGATGGTTGCGCTCCCATCCATCGACCTTCGCTCTCTGTCGGGGCCAGGCCCTCTTTTTTGGACGCCCGACATGGGTACCGAAAAAATGGGTACGATGCCAAACAACAAATGTTATCCCGAACCAACAGCGGCCGCTGTTGGGCAGGCGGCCTTCTGTCTCGAATGGACACAGGCCGCGGCGGCGTGGACAGCGAATCCTGTTCAGACTGAACAGGAACTTCTGTTCGGCATCGTACCCATTCTGTCCGTGCCCATCTCGGGCGTCCAGATCTTTTTGGGAGCCCCCTTCTGCCTTGGCCGCCCCTCCCGGCGCCTCGACCCCTCGCGGCCTCGATTCCCAGAGCCGCCCCGCGGCGGGGGCGCCGCCGCCGCGCCACCCGCTCAGACGGGAGCCCGTGTTCGTGGGCTCGCTTTCCACCGCCCCCACCAGAAGTAGGAGGGGGAGGGGGTCCTCCTCCTCCCTCCTCCTCCTCCTCCTCCTCCTCCTCCTCCTCCTCCTCCTCCTCCTCCTCCTCCTCCTCTTCACCCTCACCCTCCTCCTCCTCATCCCCCACCTCCTTCCCCCCTCCAACTTGTGGCGGTGGTGGTGGAAGACAAGCCCATCACGCGCCCCGCCCGAGGGGCATCGGGGGGTGGGCCGGGGCCGCGCGCAAGCCGGAACGGCTGCCGGAGGGGGGGGGGGGGGGGGGGGGAGCGGAGCCCCCCAGGTCGGGGCGCTGCTCCGGTCGCACACCGGGCGGTGTCGCCGGGGCTGCGGCCTCGGGGCCAGCACGGATCGATGCGGCCCGAAACAGGGCGGCAGGAGGGTGCGGTCTGGGGCCCTGGCCGGCAGTATTTCGCGGTGTTGCGGTGCATGTCGGGGGGGAGGGAAAGGGGGAGGAGGGCGAAAGCCTGAAGCAGAGCATCCAATGCGATCGGGACCAGGGCCTGGAGGCCTCCTCACGTGCTCTCACACGGGCCAGCAGAGCACACGACCGATCTTTGTCGATGTCACCCATCTGCGGCGGCGGGAGGGGGAGGAGGGGGGTCGAATGGGGGGAGGAAGGGGAGAGGGGGGAGACGGGGCTGTTTCGTTGTATGGCTGTTCCTGCTGCTGCTTCTGCTCCGGCTCAACCTCCTCTCTCATCTTCCTACCTGCTGCCTGCAATCGACCATGGGGACAGAAGCCTCCTTGCCACAGTCTGCGTCGTAAGCGGTGTGGAGGAAAAACGGGGACCACCCTCGATGATGACCTCTGGGAGATCCTCGCTTGCCCGAGAAACGCGCACCCTGCGGGCCAGGGGGGGGCAAGACGGGCACCAGGCTGGCGTCAGGAAGCTCACCGTCAAACACATCAGCGGCGTCTTCGATCTCCTCCTCCTCGTATGTACTATCCATCACTTCTCCGACTCGCCCCCTCGTCTCCAATCTTCCCTCATTCTCGCTCCTCATCTCGCCTGCCCTCGCGTCCTCTCTCCTCCTTTCTCGTCGTCGTCGTCCTCCTGCTCCGCCTCCTCCCTTTGACAATTACTCAATATGAAAATACTCTCCCACTTCCCCTGGCGGCCCTGGCGGCCCGAAGATATCCGACCCCCCCCCCCGCGTACTGTTTCTTTACACACAGGATTCCCGGGAAACGGGTTTTCGCCTGCGTCTTTTTTCAAAATGCTGCTCTCGCTGAGGCGCCGGCCTCATTTCTGTTCCCGAATCGTTCCGAATCGTGCTCCTGCTGCAGCGTGGGCCTCATTTTCGGATCGATGTTTGGCCTCCGTCGTTCAGGATGGCGTTCTCGCCCCAGCGCGGGCCTCTTTCTCGCGCGCCCATCCGCCCGCCACCACCGCGCTGCACCACCACCACCACCACCACCACCACCACCACCACCACCACCACCACCACCAGCACCAGCACCAGCACCAGCACCAGCACCAGCACCAGCACCAGCACCAGCACCAGCACCACACCACCCACCACCACCACCACCACCACGCACACACGCACGCACGCACGCACGCGCACCACCACCCACTACGCACGCGCGCGCGGAGCCACAGGTCCGCTACGACACGCGTCCGCGGATAGAGAAAATCAGCGCCATGGTAAGGGATGGGAGGGGTAGGACGTCAGATATGACGCGAGCGCACCTAGCTTGCCCATCAACCTCTCTCCTCCCTCCAGTCTCCTCTCTCCGTTTTCTCCACCACATCCACGTCCTCATCCTGCTGCTGCTGCTGCTGCTGATCTTCCTGTTGCTCCTGTCTCCGAGCTCCTCTTCCTCTTCTCTCATTCTCGCTTCTAGCTCCTCCTCCTCCTCCTCCTCCTCCTCCTCCTCCGCCTCCCTGCTCCTCGCCCCCTCCCGCGGCGTCCTCCAGCGTGGCGCCCGCGCCCGCAAGGTTGGTCACCTCAGGCACTGCGGCCAGCCGCCCCCCCCCCGCACTCCCGCGGCGGCCGAGGGCGAGAAGCGAAGAGAGGGAAGGATGACGGCCACCGAGGAACAGAACATGGCCCGCGGCCCCAGGAGCACCCCCGCGCACTTTGCCACCCGTGCGCCGACGCCGCCGCCGCCCGCTGCCCTGCCGGCACCTGCGGCCCGAGCCACTGCCGCTGCCAAGAAAGTGCCGAGGGTACTCACTGGAAGAGCTGGCTCCCAGTGCCACCCGCGATGGCAAGGAAGCCACGGTCCAGGGCCGCGCTCCGCTCCCTCCCCCTCCGCGCGCGCGAGCGCGTTTGCAGCGCGCGCTTCCGTCGCTGATGTCCCGGCCGCAGGAGGTCAGCGGCGTGATCGCCCCTCCCCGGCGCCCCAGCCGCGCAGGCCCGCGTGCCCGCCTGGGGCGGCGGCGCTCGCAGCGGGGCGCGCGATCGCCCCGAGGGGGCACTCCTGGCGACACGGCCCGGACCGAGACGGTTGCCCCATCCTCGCCTCCTCTCCTCGATCCCTCGTGGCTCTCTTACCCTCCCCCATTATGCGGTGCGCGCTGAGATGCGCACGTGCGCTGTAGAGCCAACCCGGGCGACACGGGGTAAGGAGGAGGAGGGGGAATAGGAGGAGGAGGAGGAGGAGGAGGAGGAGGAGGAGGAGGAGGAGGAGGAGGTCCCCCCCCCTTCGCTCCTCCCCCCCTTCCCTCCCGCCGCTCAAGCTGCTGCCCTCCGCCCGTGGACCTGCTCTCCCCTCGCCCTCCTCCTCGGCCCTCGCTTCTCCACGGCGAGCCCCCCGTGCCAGAGCCGGGCGCCCACTTGGGAACGTTGCCCACCCCGAGCTTTACGCAGAAGGCGTCGCTGAAGTTGCAGCAGTTGCACCTCGGCTAGAGGCAGGCGGGAGCGATGGGGAGAAGCGGAGGAGGAGGCGAGCGAAGGAAGGAGAAGCGAAGGAGGAGCCACGTCGGGACAGAGAGAGAGAGAGAGGGGAGGGAGGGAGGGAGGGAGGGAGGGAGGGAGGGAGGGAGGGAGAGAGAGAGAGAGAACAAAAACAGAAACGATATAACATCTGAGGGAGGGAAGAGAAAGAGAGAGAGAGAGAGAGAGAGGGTGAGAGAGCCAGAGGGAAAGAAAGAGCGAGAGATAGAGAGAATGGGGGAGAAGAGGACAAGGAGGCGCAGGAGGAGGGGCAGCAGGAGGCAGAAGACGCTCCAGGAGCTTACGGGCATGACATGGGGTGTTCGTTGGTTCGAGGGGGCTTAGGGAAGGAGGGCGGATGACGATGAGGAAGGATGAAGGAGGACAGGATGATAGACGGGGAGGGCTGGGGAGGAGAAACGGACGGGGGATCATGACGACGAAGAAGAACAGGGAGAAGGCGGAGGAACTCTGCACGGGTAGGGGCGAAGGGTGGCCTCCGGGGCAGGTCCAGGTCAGCCAGTCGGCCCCCTCGCGCCGAGCGCGAGCTCCCGAGGCCCCATCCGTGGAGACCTTCCAGCCGGCGCAACACCGCACGCCACACGGCGTGTCCCTACGCCTTCTTGGGGCGGCCCGGCCTTCACAGCCTGAGCGCCACGAGGCTGCCCTGACTGCGTCAAGCGTGCAGCGCACCTGCTGCAGGCCCCAGCTCACGCACCTTTTACGCCTCTGGGAGGACTGCGGAAGCCCCCGATGCCCCATCCGGTGCACATGTTCCCGAGGGCGTCCGCCCGAGCCGAGGGATCTACATGGTTCGGGAATGCCATCTGGTTGTCAATGTGCGGCGTCGGCCTGCGCTTCGTCGAGGCGCAGGCGCTTGCGCAGCGTGCGAGCGTCGTCGTTCGCGCATGGTCTTTGGCTCTAATCGTGCTCAACCACGCGTCGTGTCGCCCGCGCGAGTGTGCATCCGTCCCTCACACAGACACTCACACACCCACACACACACACACCTGTAAAAACACACTTGCCCCTCTGACATACAGCCGAAAGGGACTATATAGAGTGACCGGTGCACAAGCAAATCCGAGGCCTCCTCACCGTCTGAATCCTGAAGGAAGCCTGGCAGGGGACCGCGCACCGCTGCCGCTCCATCGAGCCCACTGCCACTGGCCTGCACGACGGAGCAGCATACCCTCCCGAGGCGGGGCCCGCACGTGTCGACCCACAGTGACCCGTGCCCGAACGCCGCAGCATCGAGGGGGCCAGGACGCGGGCCGACAGTCTAAGCACAGGCGCAGATCGAGCTCTGGTCGAGGGTGCCGCAGACGCGGTCCAGGCACCGGGGCGTGGCGTCAGAGAGGCCAGCCGGGCCGCGCGGCAGCTCCAGTGACATGTCGTTCGTTGGCAGAGCGTCCCGCCCTCCGCGGGGGCAAGATCGGAGCAGCGATCGGGCATCCTGGGCCAAGCCCGCCCCTGCCGGTGGAGGGGGAGGACGAGGAGGCGGAGGAGAGGAGGGGGACAACAAGTCGCACCTGCGGAGCGGCTCATGGCCACGCAGTTCGAAACACTCCACGTCGCAGTCCAATACGCTGGGGGCATTCGTTAAGGAATGCGCACAGGGGGCTTCAGACCCTGGAGGATTCCTTATCTGATGAGGTCGGCAGTGATATCCATGGTCAGTCCACGATTGGTGTTCCACCAGCTTCCAGATCCTTATCCAATGCCCTCACCGTTATGTTAGAGTTGTGCCGCACCCCATGTGCTGCTAGACTTCGCGCAGTGTTCCGCCGTCGTCCGTCGTACTGCTCACAGACACCTCTCGCCGCACTGCACGTCCCTCGCCTGGGTGCCGGAGACGTGCTGCTGCTCCCAATCGTGTTTCTGGGCGTCGCGCTGCGTGTCGCCAGCATGCTGCGCACCCTCGTGCAGCCCGCCACACTGCACGACCCACTGGGCATGGCCCTTGGCGTGGCACCAGGCGTGGCATGACCAGGGCCCGCCGCAAGCCGCAGCCCAACGGCGCGGAGCGCGGCAACGGGAATGACCCCGCGGGCCGCCCAGCCGTCAGCAGGCGGCTCGTCTCCGGCTGGGCGGCTGCTGCTCGGCATTCGATCGAGTGGTCGTAATGCCCATGCCCATCGTTGTGCACGTGACCTGCGCGATTCAGGGGCACGCTGGGAAACACCAACATCCAATATTGAAATTGGGGGATGTACGAAGCGAACATGCGTCAGCGAAGACGAGGGGTGGCCATCGAGTAGCACAACGCTTCCATCCTGACCGAGTTGAAGAACATGGCTGTATGCCACACATGCCGGAGCCGCTTCGATGTGCGCGCCCACAAGATCCGAACAGCCATCACATCAATGCCGTTGCGCCGACGCGCGCTGGAAAGTAACTCTAGGCGACCTCATCTTCAAAAAGGCAAGCTCGACGAACGCATGAATTGCGACATGCCCCACGTCACGACTAGTAGCAATGCGCTTACTGTCGCTTGGGATGGTCACTCCCTCCCCAGGTCCCAACTTGACGTGAAATACTGAAGCTCGGCCTTACACGTGCTTCATGCCCCTTTGTCACCCATCCCAAGAGCCAAACCTGTTCAACAATCAAGGTTTTCTGCGAACAAGTGGACTGGAAAACTATGTCGTCAACCGTCAACCTCACCTGTGAGATGGATAAAGATGTAGTCGTAGGCATCCACGTGGAAGTTTCCGAACCTCGCCCTTGGGCACCAATAGCGGAGCACTTGCTTTTCGAAACACAGCGGTCCAGAGAAGTCCACAGACTCCGCCACTTTCGGCCATGGGACCCTTGCCTGGCATCGACCGCGCCGCTGCGTCTACCGATGTTGCCGCAGGCAAAGGGTGCTACTGCAACGCCCACAGGGACCAGCACATCCATCGCATTCTGCCGAGCTCGTGTCGGGGCAGCGGCTGCCGCGTGAAGCGCACGATGGCCTCGTGGCACACGGTGCTTCGGCCGTGGACACGACCGACCTTCGCGGGGGCGGCGCTGGCCGCCTCCGGGTCCGAGCCCGCTCATTTTAGGTCGGGCACGTCCTCCTACAGGCGGATTTTGGAGGAAAAACCAAGAACGAGTCAAAACGTATTCCAACATAGTCAAAAGTTAGCCTGGCGAAGGACCAAACATACGCAGTTGTGAATACCGTCGTTGTTAGCATCGCCTTCGGTAAATCTCCTTGCGGGGCCAAGAAGCGCGTGCAGTGTGTGCCGAATTGGGGCGGGGCCGCCATGCGGGCGCTGCCACTGGGGCCCTCGGTAAAGCCCCCCATGGGGACACGAAACGTGTGAGGTATGTGCCAAAATGGGGCGGGGCCGCCATGCGGACTGCGCCACTGGGACCTTAGGTGGAGCTCCCTATGGGGCCACGAAACGTGTGAGGGGTGGCGCCGCCATGCGAACTGCGCCACTGGGACCTGAGGTGGAACTCCCTAATAGGCCACGAAGCGTGTGAGGGGTATACCGAAATATGGCGGCGCCGCCATGCGAACTGCGCCACTGGACCCTGAGATGGAGCCCCCCATGGGGCCACGAAACGTGTGAGGTCTGTGTGTGTGCAAAAATGGGGCGGCGCCGCAATGCGGACTGCGCCACTGGGACCTTAGGTGGAGCGCCCTATGGGGCCACGAAGCGTGTGAGGGGTGCGCCAAAATGGGGCGGCGGCGCCATGCAAACTGCGCCAATGGGACCTTGGATGGAGCTCCCTATGGGGCCACGAAGCGTGAGGGGTGTGCCGAAGCTGATGGTGATGATAATGACGATGACGATGACGATGATGATGACGAGGACCCAATACCACCGGATGGTTGGGGCATGCTCCCCAGACTACTCACTGTGGTTATTACATTACAACTCTTGAGGTCTTCTCCTCTAGAGGGGCGTGCCCGACCTGACGCTCACTCCTGAAGAGAACGTCGCGGAGAACGTCGCGGAGAACGCCGCGGAGAGCGTCGCGCAGACCGTGCGCGCAGGAGGAGCCGCGGCGGCGCCTGCGCGCGCTCCTGCGCGCACGGGGGCCCGCCGCGCCCTCCTGCTCGAGGAGGTGCAGCCCGAGGCGGCCGCGGCGGCACACGACCGCTTCTGCGACGAGGGGGGCGGCGGGGGGCGCCGCGCCGGACGCCCGTGGAGCCTGCGGGGCGCGAGCCGCGCCAGAAGGGCCCGAGCCAAGACGGCGTCAGCTGCTCCGGCGGCAAGCGACGGGGGGGCTCAGCAGCATCCCCGTCGACGGCCCCAGGTGTACGAGCAGTCCCCCCCAGCACCAGTGTCCCACTCCTGGTCCCAAGTGCCTCTGGAAGCCAGGCACCGAGACGCGGCGTGGCGGAGGGGAGTCCAGTCGGGGCGGGGAGGGGAGGAGCGGAGTATCGACGGAGGGAAGCAGGAGGGGTCCGCGAGGTGGGAGCACTCCGCCTGGGCCGACCCCCAAGAAGCAGATCCCCCACTCCCGACATGACGATTCTCGAAATCGTGCGCGGGCAAGTGGCAGCTGAGAAGAAGAAAAAGAAGAAGAAGACGCGGTGCACGTGAGAGGCGCGTCAGCAAGAAACGTGGACCCGACGCGGCCGCTGCCGAGCGCTACGAAACAATGATGGATGCCGGCATTTGTAACAGCCGAAACAACGCCCTGTCCCTCCCTCCTCCTCGTCTCCTCCTTCTCGTCTCATCCGCCTCCTCCCTCCTCCAACTGTTCTCCCCGTCTCTCATTCGTGTCCGCCCCGTCCCTCTTCCTCCTCCTACTCCTCCTCAACATCATCATCACCATCACCACCAACATCATCATCACCATCACCATTATAGTTATTATCGTAATCACCATCACCATCACCATCATCATCAGCATCATCCTCATAATCGTCGTCATCACCATCACCATCACCATCACCATCATCATCATAACCATCATCACCAACAGCAGCATCAACATCATCAGCATCATCATCAGCATCATCAGCATCATCATCATCACCATCACCACCATCATCATCATCAACACCAGCATCATCATCATCATCCTCATCATCATTATCTCCGTATCCATTTTGGCTCAAGCCGTTTTGTCGGTCTGAGCCGGAGAGTAAGCCTACACGCCCGCCTTTTCATGTTTGCGCGACTCGTCGCTTTCATATTCCACGTTGCACTCTTTCTGCAGCCCTGCCTCCGCGGGAAGCTCCTCCCAGGCCTGGATGACGTCACATGGCAGAGATTGGGCTCAGGAGGGCTGGCAGCAGCACGCCGATGGATCCTGGAGCAAGGGCGCCCGGCATTGGCAACCGCAGCAGTCGTCTCGAACGTGGAAGTGCAAGGTCTGTCATTCCACCAACTGGTGCCCCAAGACCAAGTGCTCAGTGTGCGGCGTGAGGAAGTCGTTCGTCCCTGCATCGGCTTCCACGGGAACGCCACCGTCAAGCTCTCCAGCAGCTGGGGTGGCAGCACAGCTCTCGGAAGTTGCTTCGATGCGCAAGCATGCCTCCCCGCAGGGCGAGACGGAGGTCCCTTCGTCTTCATCGGTCCAGAACCCCTCGAACGAGGCCCCCGACATGACCAGGAGCCAGCGCCAGACCGCCATCAAGCAGTTGGAAGCAGCGTTGGCAACCTCCACGGCGCCGAGCATGCGGCCCCGAGGGATTCGATCAACAAGGAGATTGCCAGCCACAAGCAGGCGATCATCTCGGACAAGCCCCTGGACCAGCGCAGGGACTACTGCAAGGCCGCGCTCGAGAGGGCCAAGAAGCGCTCCCAGCAAGCCCGAGAGGCCCTACGCCTCGCGGAAGCCGCCGTCCAGGCCGCCGACAAGGAGCTCCGCCTGGCGCAGGAGCTCGCCGACCTCCAGCAGGCCATCTCCGAGGCCCCCGTTCAAGAGGAGGGCCTCGCCGCACTCAAGTTGCAGTTGGAGGCGGCCTGCCAGCGCCAGCAGCTGTCCAAGGTCGAGGGCGCGCATCCCGACGCCACCGCCGACGCCGAGGCCCCCAGTCGGGACCTCCTTCTGCGCTTCGAGGCTTCCCTGGCCCGGCATGCTGCCAAGGAGGCGGGCGGCATGAACGTGCCGCGGCGCCACTCGGCGAAGAGCCCTCCGGTGCCAGGGGAGGACACGAGCGCCCCCGGGGTCGCGCTCACCCACCGCCACGTGGGCAAGCAACCCCTACAGCCGCAGGAGAAGAAGAAGAAGAAGAAGAAGAAGCAGCAGACCCTCACCAATTACTTCAACCTCTCCAGCGGGATCCCGGACCCCGCAAAGATGGCCCCTCCGCGCCCGCGGAGCCAGGGCCCCGAGCAAAGGTGCTCGCCATATCCCTAAACGCCACCATCGTCAGCAGCACGGAGATCAGCATCAGCCCGCCCACAGGTGTCTTTTTGCCGACGTGGGTGCGAAAAACGACGGGTGAACTTCGCCATGGAGGCGAACCACCAGTACCACTACATTCCCGACCTCGGGCTTCACCATCAAGATCTCCAAAATCATACCACAGTGCTCCTTCGAGGTGGCAGAGACATTGTGACAAGAGGGCTCGCAACGGAGCTTAGCTCATTCTTGCCACCTTCAATGTCCAGACACTGGATCCGAAGGAGCGCCGGCAGCTACGCCGCATCGGCGAGAGCGTCACCGCTCGCGCGCGCTACGTTGAGGACTTCTTCAACAAGCATCACATCCAGCTGGCAGGCATCCAGGAGTCGCGTCTTCCCGATGCTGGTTGTCAAGATCTGGACCCTTACTTCGTCTTCTCCGCCCCCTCCACCGACGACGGGTTGGCTGGAGTGCAGATCTGGCTTCATGAGGACCTCGCGGTCTTGGCCAACACGGCGGCTGCGAATGCAGTCAGCCCCCGTCTGCGACGCACAGAGTTCCCCGCAGCAGGCCTCACCTTGACAGCCATCTCGGCGCGCGCCCCGGCGGCGTCAGCGCCCGCGGAAGAGAAGCGCGCCTTCTGGGCACCCCTCCAGAAAGAATTGGCCGCTGCACTGCACAAGCGCGCCCTGGTCGTCTTCGTCGATGGCAGCGACGACGACGAGGCGGCCGGCGTCAACTCCAACTACCAGGTCGCCCTCGAATGCCGCCTGGCGCACGACCTCCAGGACGCCGCCGAATGAAGTTCAGCGGCGCCATGGAGCCCGCCCGGTTCGGGATCCCGGGCCACGAAGAGCGCAGCGACCGTGTCTGGCTCGGCCCCCACTGGCACCGCAAGCTGCACGCCGCGAGCGTCCTGCAGGATTCGCCGTGCTTCTCCGAACGGGAGGGCCACCGGGTAGTCGAGGCCACGGTCGCCTTGGACCCAGTCGCTGAGTCCGAGGCCTGCTCCCGGCCTCAAGATGTCATCGGAGAGGCTGCACGACCCCAAAAATACGCCGGGCCTTCGAAGCGGACATGTTCGCCCTCGCGGACGAGCTCCAGCACAGCGTCACTCAGGGCCCCGACGTCTACCACGCTCAAATGATCGAGCGCGTCCAGGGCCTCCAACTCGAGCACTTCTTCGCGAGTTCCCAAGAAACCCTGGATCTCTTCGACGAGCTGGGCTCTCATCAAGAACACCCCGGGCATCAGGAACTTGGCAGTCTGGAGCTGGCAGCAGGCACAGCGCGTCCTACTCCAACGAGGGTTTCACGCATGGGCAGGTCATCTGCGCAGTCCTGCTTCGCCCGAGTATGCCGCTCTACGTGGGTCCATCGCGGCCGCCCGCAGGAGGGCGGCTCAGTACTCTGCCTCCCTGTCGGCGCACCGCAACGCCACGAGAGCGCTCACTCGGGCCGATCGGCAGACCTGGGCAGAGGGCCCGGCAAGGCAGGCGGACGTCGCAGACCGAGATGGCAACACCAAGGCTCTGTTCGGCATCACCCGTCAGATTCGGGCGCCCCGGGGCTTCCGGAAGCACGCGAAGGTCAACGACGAGCAGGGCCGCTCGCTGTACGATCCTGGTCAGACCTCCTCAAGGTGGAAGCGCCACTAAGCGTCCTTGTTCGCCGGCCAGATCCTCCATACGAGCGAGGTCGCTGCCCGCGTGCAGCAATGCCCGCGTCCAGCACTTCATCAACCTTCTGAACCATTTGATCGCAGTTCCGTATGGCGGCAACTTTCGCGGGTTCATCCTAAAAAAGGACTTGGGCCAGATGGTATTGGCGCTGAGGTGTGGCGCGCTGGGAGAGAGGGCACGCTTGACGTAGTCATGCCCTTGTTCAACTTGGCCACCTCGGCGGCGACGGCTCCGGTGGCCATGAAGGGCGGCAAGCTGTTGGACATCTGGAAGCAGAAAGGCGCCCCCGCGAACTGCGACTCCAGCCGCGGGATCCTCGTTTCAAATCATCTCTCGAAGTGGTACTGCGTATCAATCGCCGAGCCCGTCTTCCAACATGTACACGACTTTCTTGGCCCTGCACAATGCGGCTCTGTACCAGGGAGAGATGCCACTCTCCTCATTACTGCGCCGCAAACGTTTGTCGAGAGAAACCTTACCACGCGCACGTCATGGGCATTACTTTTTCTTGACCTTGCCAAGGCCTTCGACTCCATCGTCCGCGAGTACTTGTACGGTGTTGATCAACTACACCTACCCACGCTCGCCGAAGATCTTCAGCGTGCTGGCATTCCTCCTGAGGTTGCCCGCGAAGCACAAACCTACCTTCAGCAGCACCCGCCTCACTCGTTGGTCCGAGCTCGTAGGCTCGCGGGCCTCTGTTCGCAGATGTCTGCTCCTCCGCTAGTGGTTAGTTGTATTTCTGCGATTCCGAAGCCCCCGTCCACGTTTGAGCTATTCCTTGATTTGAGACATCTTCGGCGGTTTCACTTTGACTGTTTAGCGGTCTTGGGAGACCCATTCGCCTTTCCAGGAGCATGGAAGGAATACATCACCGCCCAACCGAAAAGGTGGAGGCGCCTGTGTCATGAGTTCAGCGCGTGTCCTCACCCGGCTGAGCGCCCTCCCTCCTCCGCGAGGCGGCTGCGAGGCAAGCAGGCGGCAGATGCCAGTCTCTTCGTGCCCAAGGATCCACTCCTCCCTTGCCCCGCGTGCGGTAAGCAGTGTAAAGGGGCGAAGGGTCTGGCCGCTCGCCAACGCCACGCCCACGGCGTTAAGATGCAGGCGCGGTACTATATCATAGGAACACGTTGCCCGTGCTGCCAAAAGAATTTCCGTACTCGGCCTCGAGCCTTGCACCACCTGCAGTTTTCGAGCAGACAGTGCCGAGAGAAAATAAAGGCAGGTCTTTTACCCCGCCACTCCGAACAGGCTGTGATAGCAGCCGACCGGGCGGACGCCTCAGCACTCCGCGCCACGGGAGCCCGGGGCGAAACTCGCACTCGAGCCTTACTTCCTCCGCTGGCGCCCGACGTGGACCCAGCGGTATAATTTCCGCTTTAACGTAGCCTGCGCTGCCCCTTGGCCGCGCTCGCTGCTTCCTCAAGCCGCGATTCCAGCAGAGCTCCAGGTCCGCCTACAGCCCAGCCAATCAATCATCATTATCATCATCTCTCCCCCTCCGCCTTCCTCCTCCCTCCTTCTTATTTCCTCCTCCTCCTTCTCCTCCTCCTCCTCCTCCTTCCTCCTTTTTCTTTCATCTCCCCCTCCACCTCCTCACAAATGGCACCTCCCACCGCATCATCACCCTCCGCCTCCGCCTCCCTCCCTGCCTCAGCAGGTCGTAGTCCACCCCAGGCCACGCGCCCTTCATCTCCTCTATGAGCTTGGCCACCTCCGCAGGCCGACGCGCGCGTGTGGGAGGCCGACAGACGCCAGGGGGCACCAGGGCCAAGGAGGAGGAAGAGGAGGAGGAGGAGAAGGAGAAGATGAAGGGGAAGAGGAAGGAGGAGGTGACAAGTCAAATTCCATTTCTCGTTCCTCATCCTCATTCCTCCCTGGCCCCCCTATGACTTTATTATCCTTGAGCTGTAGCGCCCCCAAACAAGGTTGACCTCATGCACGGTCCGCCCTCCTCCCTCCTCAACGGGTTTCTTGTTGACTGTTCTGGCCGTTGGTCTCCCTGCGCAGGCGTTGCTTGACAGGAGCAGCTCGTTACCCCTTTCCGGTTCATGGGCCTCGGTCTCCCCAGATTTCTGCCACCCAGCTGTTCCCGCCCCCTGCCAGCTGATCTATTTCCCCCCGCCGCTGGGCATCTTGCTTCGCTCGGGAATGCCCGTCTGCCCCCCGAAAGCCGGGCGTCTGCCTCGTTCTGGCGTTCCCCGCCCTGTCCGGCTGGCCACGTTGCCCCAGGCTGCGGGGCAAGCTGCCCCGCTCGGGTGTCCCCTGGCTGCTCCAGCTGCCCCCTTGCCGTGCCGCTCCCTTGCCTCGCGCGGGTGCCACTCCGGCCTGTTTCTGGCAACTTGCTGGCCTGGGCCAGCGTGACCCCAAGAAACTGGACAACTCAAAAGAGGCCGCGTCCATACGGAGTACATCCATACGGAATGCTCGGTCTCCGTCTGGGCTTCCTCCGTCTGGACTGAGCCTCTCAAGATAGACAGCTAGGTCCATGCGGAAATCCATTCGGAGCGCTCGGTGTCCGTCTGGGCTTACTCCGTCTGGACTCAACATCTGATGGGATGCCGCGTCCAGGCGTAGCAAAATCACAAGGAGTGTTGGAGGCCTGGAAATGAGCACCAATACCAAGACACGGGGCTGCCTCCACAGGGTGGAGACGATCCTAGAATTCGGTGTTGGTGGTAATATTTCGGTCGCCCTGGAAGCCAGAACATTACCACCATCGCCGAGATCGGGATGTTCGTCCCTCGGTGGAGGAACGCCGCCGATCTTGGTGTTGGTGTCAACCTCTAGGCCTGCGAGAGTGCTCCGTCTCCGCCTGGGCTCACCCCGTCTGGGCCCCACTCTCCCCCTCCTGCCCCCCCAGGGGGGCCCAGCGCCTCGAGGGGCGCCGCGGGGCCCCCCGCGGCGCGCACCGAGACCGGCGCGCCCGCCCCCGCGCGCGCCGGGCGGGTGCCTGCCGCCGCACCTCACCTGACAATATATGAATCCGCTGGGGCCCTCACAGGGGCTTCGCGCAAGCTCCCGCAGGCTTCGCGCAGGCTCCCGCGGGAGGCAGAGCAGCGGAGGCAGCCTGGTCATATGCGCCGCAGGCCCGCCCTCGAGCGCCGCCGCGCAGCATGCTGGGCGCAGTGGTGGATCCTGCCGCCCCGCCACCAGGTCTGACCACGACTCGGTCAACACATGGGGCACTTGCGCAGGCGAATGGGAAGAGGGGGCGGGGGCAGGAGCGCTTGGTGAACAGAGTCAGCCAACGGATGGCCTGCGCGAGTTGCATCTTTCTATTATTTTATGCCGGAGAGTATACTTCGCACTCTCAGCTTTGCCATCGTGCTACTACACGCGTTCGGCGATGGCCGAGGCCGCGGGCAACGGGGCTCCATTGGGGCCTGCAGCGGGGCCCCATTAGGGCCCAAGAAACAAAATAACACACACGCACACATCGGCGTTGTGTTCCGCCTCCCAAAACGCAAAAACGCGTGGCCGTGCTTCCATCGCTGCCGCAACTGACGGACATCCACAGAAATCACGACGCCTCCGGCGATCGACCCAAAGGAACTACATCGATCCGCTTCGAGGCTTTCAGCAATAATGGCCCTGGAGCAACGCAGAAAGCAATTGGGAATAGCAGCATGTCTTGGGCGCGGCACACCGCAGCCAGCGCCGTCTTGGCCCAGCGGCGGCCTCGCTGGAAAAGGGCGCCCTAGGGCGCACGTCAAGCTTGGCGCGAGTGGCCTTGAGATCGCTGTATGCCCATCGCCCGGCGAAGTTGAGGGCCAGTCGCGCGGCCTCGGCTGCGTGCTTAGAAGGGCCCCCCCCCAAGGTCGACGCGGGGCCTGGGCGAGCCCCCCCCCCCCCCCCGAAACTGGCTCACTTTTTCGGGGCCCCGAAGCGGGGCGGCGTCGGCGGCCGCGGCGAAGCGCGTGGCTCGCCGCGAATCCGGACCCTGGCGCAAGGTGGCGAGGGCCAGGGCGCGGTCTTCAGCTCTGTCAAGATTGTCGCAGCCAGCCCAGGCGCGAACCATAGAGCAACTGGGCCGCAGGCAGGGCGCAACGCATGCGCAGTCGACCCCCCCTCGAACGGGTTGATGGCAGCAAGTTGCCCACCAGCCGAAGCTGGCTGGAAGGCCTCTCCTGTCTCGCTGCTGGCTGCACCCCGCGCTGCCCACAGATTCCGAGGTCTGAGATCCCGCGCGGGCGTCGGCGCCAATGAACGCGAATTGCGCAACCAGGTGACCCAACAGATCGTCGACGGCCTTCCAGAGCTGGACTCGGTCTCTGGCTTTATTGCCATCCTTGGGAGCACGGGCGGACACAATCTTCATCTCGGATCCTGGGGCCTGCAGAGAGACGCGGAGGATCCGAGGGAAAGAGCGAGGGGAGGAGTGAAGCTCGGTGACCTGCTTTGGGGCAAGATACTGCGGCTGGGACTTGATTTGGACGCGCGGCTCGTCATAGCTCAACCATATCTCCACGCCAAACTCGCGGCTCAAATGCCCGCGTGAGATGGCGCGAGAAGGTCCGGCGCGCCTGGCCCCCCGAAGGGCCCCAGCCTCCTGAGGGCCAGCGGATGCGCTTTCTGACATTTTTGGCCAGAGGAACCTCGGGGGCGGACATTGGGCTGAGTGACCTGAAAATGCACGCTGGCATTGATCGTGGAATTGTGCCTGGGAGCTGCTGAACCACTGCGTGCTGCTTTCAGGCTGCGGGGCGGCGAACTCGAACTGTCGACGTGAAAGGAGGCAACGGAGTCGCGAATGAGCACAGGATAGGTAGCCCCGTGTGCAGGCGGCGCCGTAGCCAGCCATTCCCGCTCTCGGCCGATGTGCCTACTGCGCGAAATCAACAAGATCGCTCGCCAGAGGGGCAGGGGTGGGGGCGCTCCTGATCGCGGACCTTACTGCATTGTCAATAAATGAATGTCAAGGGTGCCAATCGCGCCCGTGGGCGCGAAACAAGAGGACTGAGCGACGGGGCAGAGCGAAGGACAGAAAGACCCTGGCATGCCTGGCGATCAGTCCACGCCTTGGCGGAGGATGAGTTGCGACGGGAAGTCCACGGCGTTCAGGCCGTCGTTGCAAACGCGAAGTGGCAGCGAAACCCGGTTCGCAACGGCGACAATCGCGGCCCGCAAGATGGCCAAGAGCCCCAGGTCTGCACTGTCCGGCGATGGCGGGAGCGAAACATGGAGCGGCCAAACCCATCGAACTCCGGTCACCCCGGCGAAAACGCACCCCCGATCATCTTGGACAACTCTGACAACGCCCCGCGACGCCGCGTCAGCTTCCTGCGGGCCAAGCGAGCCATCGCAATAGAGTTGCCCGATATCCCGCTGCCCTGTCCTGCCGGCGCAGCTGTTAACCGCGAACTGCGCCGGTTCCTCCAGCGCGAGGAGGTCAAGGGTTCTCCAGATGAGCAGGCGCTCAGCGCACGCGAGCCAGAACCCGAAGGGGCATGCAGCCGCGCAAGTCGACGGGGAGGGGGGGCAGGGGATCGAATCGGTTCGGATTCCTCCTCAGGAATGGGGCCGAGGGGTCGCCTCGCCTCCCGGGATGGGTCCACCGTGGGATCACGGCGGTGGCGCACCGCAGAATCGCGGTCATGATGGATTAACACCCCCAGCAGCTGAGCTCTCAGAGGGGCCCCAGACCCCCTTTTCGGCATGGGGCCCCTCGCCCACGTGGGCAGCGCTGGGGGGTGGGGGCCTGGCCAGTCTGCCCCGGCTGAACTGCCCCTTCGCTGAAATGCGCGGGCAACCGCCCACGATGCCGGCGGCGCGGCGGAGCGGAGTCGAGTCGGCAGAAAAAGTCGCTGATTGCGCGCGCGACAGGCCTCCTCGGGCGGGCCCGTCGACAGCACCCGTAGATCCTGGATTCACATCGAGGGAGCGCCTGCATTAGGATCCGGGGCAGAACTTGCCATCGAGCTGGAGCAATGGCGCGGGCCTTTGGGCGGCGCACGCAGGCCCCCCGAAACCACCTCGGACGAGAAGGAACGGTTTGCAGTCCCCCGCGCGGTGTCAGGGAGCGGGGCAGGGGGAGAGTCGAAAGAAGCCAAGGCTCTCCCAGTCGACAGATCCTGGGCGGCCTCGCTGCCCACAGCTGAGCCGTCTCGTCGTTCTCGCCCAACCCGACGCCGGCACTTGCGTGGCGGGCTCTGCCCTGGCACGAGGAGGGGGCGGGGCATGAGTCACTTGGGGCTGCAGACCTGCTGGAGTCCCCGAACGGGTAGCTCCCGATGTACTGGGCGGCTGGAGAGCATCATGTACCTCGTCGACAAGGGCGTGCATCTCCATGAGGGCCCGAGGACCTCCTGAAGAGCTTCGATGGCCATGGCGGTGGCGACCTGCTCTGTGCTCATGGAATGCAGTCCGTGCTGTTCTGGATGGCTGCTGTCTTGATCTGCAGCACCAGCCGCCCAATCTCGGCATCGGAAAGCTGACTCTGGGGCGGGGTCAAGACAGGGGGCGGTGCAGCGGCTTGCTAGGGCGTGCCAAATACTGGAACTATCTCGCACTCGCGCTCCTGCTGCGGCATGATCGGGTGCGCCAGACAACCTGGCGATGGCATGCCCAGAGAATGTAACTGGCCCAATGACGTGCTCGACCCGTGAACTCTGGGGCCACTGGGGAACGGGTTACGCAATCGACTTGGGTCTCTCCTCCGCTGCTGGCTCCGTGGGCGTGCGAGGCGATCCCTGACCGTTCGGTGCTGATGATTGCGCAGATGCAAGAGATGCTGCAAAACGAACTCTGGGGCCGGCTGAAAGATGCAACGGGCTTGCAATACTCATGCTGGGGGTCTTCGGCGCTGGGGCTCGCGGCGGCGGTAGATGGCCCCTGAACCACTTCGTCGCCCTGCGCCGCTGCTGCACTCCCGCTTGATACCGGATGAACTTGCTGACCTTGGCCCGCGGAATTGGGAGGCCGCTGAAACGGCACGGCTGCCTTGGACTGGGGCTGAACGACTAGAGCTGAAGGCGCCGCCGACTGCACATGCCAGACGCTGAAGCTCCACAGGGCTGCTGGGGCATCGCACCTGCGGCGCTGGACGGGCCGCCAGCCATATCCCAGTCGGCTTCCCTCCTGCTGGAAACGCAAGAGATGATCGGTCGTCTGCTTATTGTGGGCGACGCCCTTCTCGAGCATGGCCTTCTGCCCACCAAGCGCGGTGATCTGATCGTCAATGTTCTTGACACGGCCAAAGTTGAGCGCCATTGTGACTTTGCCACATATCATATGCTTTTGGATGCCCCCTAGCTGGGCCAGCATGAAGCGGTATGTGGTGATCTTGGCATACTCGTCCATGCGATCGGTCATCGTCTTGCCAGCTTGGTGGGAGACCGGAATGAAATTCGCCGTCGGATTCATTGTCATATGAACTTCTCGGAAGTATATGCGCCTGGCTGCGAAATCTATCTCGTCTGGCGGCGCATGGCACACTGGATTGGTGAACGCCATGTCCGGAGATGCTGGGGTTGCCGCACCGATGACCTTTGATACTGTCGGTGGTGGAACCCTTGCCCGTGGCACCCTCGATGGCAGCCGCTTGAGGCGGGATCGACTGTGGAAACAATGCCGAGGGCGAGGACCTTGCCTTGTTGTCTATTCCGAGCCTGTGCCCTCTTTGCCACACCGACCACACGTCTGGTACTCGATTGGAACTTGAAACGAACATGGCGGACAAATCCTGGACATTGCCCCACGATGCGCACTACGATGCAAATAATATAGCTCCCTGGCCTTGTCCAATATGATGGGACACCTGGCTGACGCTCTCCTTTCCCGCGCTCTGCGGCGCCAAGCTGGCTCACTCGTGATACAGATATCTCTTGGTTCCAAAGCTGTTATTGACTCCTCCTCCTCCTCCTCCTGGTCCTCCTCCTCCGCATTCTCCTCCTCGTCCCCCTTCTCTTCCACCTCATCCTCCTCTTCCTCTTCCCCCTCCTCCTTCTCCTTCTCCTCCTCCTCCTGCTCTTCCTCCTTCTCCTCCTCCTCCTTCTCTTCCTCCTTCTCCTCTTCCTATTCGTTCCTCCTCCTCCTCCTCTTCTTTCTCCGCCTCCTCCTCCTCCGCGAGGAAGCGCCGCGCCTCCTCAGCCTCCCGAGGTGCCGCCCCCACGGGAGCCCAACAACAACCCATAGCCAGGCGATGATGCTGACAGATCCCCCCCCTTCCGAGATTCATACCACCCATCAGCCAAGTGAGGTGTGAAGCTCCCGGTCAAGAGGACGCGGCGGAGGTTGGAGGTTAGCAGAGGGAGGCAGGGGGGGCAGCGATAAAACGGGGGGGGAGTTAGGCGTGCACCTGTCGCGCCCCTTGTGGGCCCCAAGGGGGCCCTTTCGGGGCCCTGGGAGGGCACAACAGACGTGCACCTTTCTTCACCCCCCTCCTTTTGTTCGCCGCCCTGTCAAGGCAACGCCCAGTCTTCGCCCCCTGAGGCCCTCTCCGGGACCTGTGACCGTCAACGAGACGACTCCGGATGAGAAGCGGGCCCTGGGCAAGGGGTCCAGAGCTCTAGGGGTCCACGTCTTGACAGAAATCACGATGACGGTCTGGGTCCCGAGCGCAAGGTCGAGGATCAAGTTCCTCGTGGCTGTGAGGGGTGGCCTGGGGACTCACGAGGGCCCGAGGGTGGCTCAAGACATGTAGGTGTTTTTCGTCAGTTCCCACTGCGGTGCCCCAGGTGTCCTAGATCGGAAGCCCCGCGCTAGTCATGCTTGCGTTATCGGCTCCACGCCCTCTGCTCCCATGTGTTTCCGCACCGACTGCCCGATGATAGTGTAGAAAGCGAGCCTACCACACTCCCCTATATGTGCCCATCACGGACTGGCTGCCCTTTGATGCCCTGCGGCCGACCGTCATGGGCAACAAGCACGAGACCCCACCCTCAGCGCCGTCCACTCTCTCTACAACGTGGCAAGCATCGTCTATGGCTGCCTTTCCCTCCCAAAGGACAGTCAGTCTGCACACCTGGAGATAAAATGCTTTCGCGCTGCCGGTATTGGTAAGAACGTGGCCCACTGTCGGGAAACAAAGGTTCCTGGTAACTTTCATTCGTGCCTCGCGGCGCGACAGCGGGCAAACTGCCTCATTACCCAGTGCCTCTCAGATGGTCACCACATCCCTAAAGATGGTTCCGGGGCCCTTCAGGCCTATAGCTTTATTTGCAGGATGATGCGGAATATCATTCCGACGCAGAGGTTACACCACGAGTTGTCGGGCATGATCATAGAGCCGGAACCTTACGTCGATTGGATTGCACGAGCGACACATCGGGCAGAGACTATGTTCCAGCTTGCTGGACACCACAGTTGGGCGGACCAACAACAGAACCGGAAGTTGGCACTAATAGAGAAAACGCTTAATCGCACGGATGGCCGTTGGTGGACAAAACTTCTGCGTTGGACTCCAGCGGTCGTGCGATTGCCCGGCCGCCCTTGCAAGCGCTAAACGGGCTGATGGCCTTGCCTCCTTCCCCCCTCCTCTGCCGTGCCGGCCAGCCAGGATTTCACGGCGAAGCTGCCGCCGAGGTGGTTGCCTAGCTTCCCATTTTCTCCCTCCCTCCTTCTTTCCTCCCTCCTCCCCTCGTCGTTTCATCTTTCCTGTTCCGCCCGCCCTGTTGTCGTCCTGTCGTGGTCGTGGTCGTGGTTGTTTTGCACAGTACTGCAATTGACACCTTATTTGTCTCTCGTTGCACGGACCACACGGATTGTACAAGCGCCCACGTTCGTTCTATCTGACGTCAGGGGCCCAGCCCGGAGAGGTCGGCCAGCATGATGGGCTGTCTCGCTCCCGCTCGCGCATGTTCCACACGGGTTTTTCAGCGAGCCCGATCGCCCTCCAGGGCCCCTGGCGCGGGTGACCCCCGCATCGCTGCATCCGCATCCGCATCCGCATCCTTGCCGAAGGCAAACAAGACCTCGTCTCCCTCTCCTCCCTGATTCCTCCTCCCTCTCCTCCTCTTCCTCCTCCGCCTCCTCCTCCTCCTCCTCCTCCGCCTCCTCCTCCTCCTCCTCCTCCTCCTCCTCCTCCCTCCTCCTCCTCCTCTCTCCTCCGCCTGTCTCCTCCTCCTCCTTCTCTTCCTCCTCCTCCTCGTCCTCCCTCCGCCTCTCTCCTCCTCCTCCTCCTCTCCTCCTCCGCCTGTCTCCTCCTCCTCCTCCTCCTGCTCTTCCTCCTCCTCCTCCTCCTCCTCCTCCTCCTCCTCCTCCTCCTCCTCCTCCGTCTCTTCCTATTCGTTCCTCCTCACCTTCCCCCTCCCACTGCCTTGGGGAAACCAAAAGGCACCGATAACGCCACTCTCCGGACCTCTCCCGGGGTGCGTCTTGCCCAGGACTTCGAGGTGAACCCAGCGGTGGCGACGAGGGCCGCCCAGGAAGCCCAAACAGAGGAAAGCGGGGCAAGGTTAGCGGCATGGGTACCGCTTCCTGGTCTGATCCCTCTCTCCTCGGGGGTTGCTAAAGGTGCCCCTGGCTCAAGGTGCCCCCAGCTTTTCGCTCAATTTTGGAGCTCCTGGGGCCCTCTGGACCTCGTGAGGGGTGCTCTGGAGGCCGTAGTGGCCTCCTTGAAAATCCTGGGGGCACCTTGGGCCAGGGGCACCTCTAGCAACACCCGATCTCCCCCTCGTCCTGCCTTCGCCGGCAAAGAGGAGGGGGCCCCTCCGCGCGGCCTCCTCCTCGGACAGCGCCGTCTCGCCCATGGAGACCTCCGCGGGCAGCCCGGCGAGCGAGGCCCCGACGGGAAAGCGACAGGGCCGTCATTTGCGCGTCTTCGCTTCGCCGTTGGTTTCCCGGCGTCGGCGCCGCTGCTGTCCCGGTTCCGTCATTCAGACGCTCAAGTTCTCCGTTCGATACAGGGTAGCTTATAACATATAATACCAAGAGTTGTACGGCACCAGTGTTGGAAACACACTTCGAATAATAATATTAAAACAATGTTCTAACGAGCGCTTACCTTTACACTAGTGGTCAGAACTATTGAAGTCTATATGTATGCGTATAGCAAAACAATTGTCTTGATCTTCCCGTGTCGAAGACTGTTCGAAACATATTCATTTAATGCAAGTGTCTGTGTGCATGTGGCGTCTGAACGTTTCACTGCTTGAGCCCAGCGCTTCACGTATACAAAATTTGCTAGAACTTGTTGCGTCTTTCCTCGCCGTAGGATTGGCCGCATTCTATGCTGGCGAGGCTACTTTCGCCAGACCACTTGCTAACATCTCAACTCGGAGCCCGAGGGTCTTTGCGAGACTGCTGATCGTCCAGAATCCTCCGAAGGACCAGGACATAGGACGTGAACCCGCAAGATCCACGACACCAACCCCAAGACTCTCCATAACCCAACACCCTCACCGTCACCCAAACCACCGAGATCACCATCAATGACATGGTAACCGTCACGAGGCGACTTGCAATGCTGTCTGGAGGGCTGACTGCGTAGCTGCAACGCACACACGAGACCTCAAAACGAAGCGTTATGCAACTCCACCAGTTGCTGGCGGACGATCGAAGTCGTCAGCGTTCCAAGCTCCCACCCGGGCCTGATGTAGATGACAGAATCGGTGCATACGGGGCTTCCCCAGCACCATTCGGTCCCCCATGATGGTCAGGAGGAGCCGAAGCCACAGGCGTGCCAGGGGCAGGGGTGCCAGTAGGGATACCAATCCCATAGCATGTAGCACCGCCCGTCGGCGTCGACGTCACCATTGGTGTTCCTTTCTTAGACGGAGAGGGCGAGGGCAGAGAAGGTGCGGCAGGGGAGGCCTCCTGGAGCGCAGGGCCCATGATTTCGTCGTCAACCCTAGCCCGATCAGATTGTCCATGCCTTCGCACGCCAGTTGGAGTCCGCGAGCCGCTTTCGCTCCTGGGCCGCCTCCTGGGTTACCAGCTTCTTCGCCACCTGTTTTTCTCCCCGTCCACCAGGTCGAGGGGCGCCAGCGGGGTCGAAATCTCAAACATACGAACAATGACGACGACGAGGCCTCCGAGGAGGTACCTGTCTCAGAGTCCCTGCGCTCGAGCTTCTTCGCCGTTTTGCCCTTCTTGTTTTCCCTTGTCGACGGCCACGCAACTGAGAGAGACGACGACCCTCCCAGGACCTGGAAATGCCTGAGTTGACCCAGAAAGGCCAACGCCAAGAGAGCCGTTGTTTACGAGACTCCCGCGCTGCCGAGAGCGTGCGTCTCCGACAGGAGTGTAAAAAGACGAGACCTGACCGCGGACTGGTGGTATCAACTCTGTCCCAAGAGGGGCCAGACATCTCGAGCGAAAGTTGCTACGGAGGAGGGCACGAAGGAGGCGAAGGATGAGGGATGAGAGGGAAGGGCATGAGAAGGTAGGAGGAGGAGGAAGAGGAGGACCAGTGGAAACCCAAGAATCATCAACGATGTTGGAATAAACCCTCCCTCCAAGCTCCCTCTTCATAGGCCCCTGCAAACGGCTCATTTCCATTGAGGGAACTTCCTTGCCGGAAGACAGCAATTTGAAGATCCTGACGCGTGGCAAAACACTGCTCGGAATTTCAACGCCACATATCAACCGGACTGCTGCGTCTTGACGATACACAATCGTGCCAGAACTCCGTGTTGGGGACTTTAGCACAACGAATCAACATAATTGTTGCGCCCGCATGATCCGGCATCCTCCCAAAATATAATTTCTGGTACGTTGACCATGGGATTCCGTGAAACTCTTGCAACTTTATCAAACGAATTTGCGTGGCGCCAAAGCGAGAACCACATGTTGGAAACGACCCGCCCTCAATCTGTGAAAAGAGCGGCACTAAAGCGAAGACCACATTTTGAAAACCGTCCGCCCTGAATCCGTGTAATTCTTGCACATGTTAAAAGCGAATGTGCGCAGCGCTAAGGCGAGAACCACATGTTGAAAACCACCCGCCCTCAATCCGTGAAGCTGTTGCATGTTTGTTTCGTCCTCGTTTTCATTATTCTTTATAAGAAAAAAGAATGTGCGCGGCGCTAAGGCGAGAGCCACATTTTGAAAACCATCCGCCCTGAACCAGAGAAACTCTTGCAAAGTTTAAAATCGAATGTGCGCGGCGCTAACGCGAGAACCACATTTTGAAAACGACCCGCCCTCAACCCGCGAAACTCTTGCAAATATTTAAAGCGAATTTGCGCGGCGCTAAGGCGAGAGCCACGTTCTGAAAACCACCCGCCCTCGATCTGTGAAACGCTTGTCACTTTTTAAGCTTCAGAATCCTAGAAAGGGTGGGGAAGTCTCAGACGAAACGCCCGGCCCGCCCTAACAACTGGCCTCGGGGTGCGACAGGAAGGAGTTACCTATAAGGAGACAATGCAAACCCAAGAGTCATCAACGATGTTGGAATAAACCCTCCCTCCAGGCTCCCTCTTCATAGGCCCCATACAAAGGTTCGAGCTGCCTTGTTGGAAGACAACCGTTTGAAGACCCTGATGCATGCCAAAACATCGTTCTCGGAATTCCAACGCCACGGATCAACATGACTGTTGCGTCTGGGCGGTCCTGAATCACGCCAGAACGCCATTCCTGGGACTTCAACACCACGAATAAACGTAACTGTTGCACCCTTATAAGCTTGAACCCCTCCAAAACACATTTTCTTGTACGCTAACCATGTGCATCCGTGAAACTTTCGTAGCTGTTGCAAAGAAATGTACGCGGCACAAGCGCGAGAACAACGCTTTGAAAACGAGCCGCCCTCAATCCGCGAAGCTCTTGCAAATGTTTAAAGCAAATTTGCTCGGCGCTAAAGCGAGAGCCCCATTTTGAAAACGACCCGCTCTCCATCTGTCAAACTGTTGTCGATTTTCAGTTCCAGGGTCATAAATGGTGAAAGTGTCTTAGGCGAAACGCCGGGCCCGCCCTAACAACTGGCCTCGGGGTGCGACAGGGAGACATTATTTATAAGGGGAGGAATGGCAGAATAGGACATAATACGTGGAGGAGGATGAGGAGGACTAGGATGTGGAGGCACAGGTGGGGGAGGAGCCAAAAAACAGCCCTGTAGTTTCCAAGTGCCACGAGGGGTAACATCAATCAGCATCAAATCGGGAAACCGGATCGAATAGGGATGTGCGTCGGCTCGGGCTGCGTCGACACAACATCGAGATCGACTCGGCTGGGCTGGGCCAGGATGCACCGCAGCGCCATGCAAGCAGTGGATCGCTGGATCATCGGAATCGAATCGGATCGAGCCAGCCGCGATCGATTTCGAATCGGATCGATCGGATCAAAATTCGCTCTGAAAGAAGGGAAGCCCGACAAGGAGAAGCGTAGCAAAAAGGAAACGGCTCCTTGAGAAAAACTTTCTTCGCCGTTGTCGGGACCCTGAGGCCCTCGGCAAACGCCGGGCCGTCCAAACATGGTTCAGGATGCAGAACTAGTGCCACTGGGGGAAACCCCTGGGTCGAGGCCCCATTTTCCAGATGGAGGACAACTTCTCCGTCATGGCGAGAGCGATGGAGGGTCTAAACGTAACTCCACTCTTTTTGTTGTTTCTCTCTCTCTCTCTCTCTTTCTTACGCCTCCTACACAAGTCCATGGGTCCCTTATGGTCCTCATATTCCTCGGGACCCCGATCCTTCACAACGGGAAGCGAGAGGGGAGCGATAAGCGGCAAGCAGACCGACTCCCGGTAGGTGTGCATGGGGCACCCCTTCGGAGCGTTGCTGAACACACCTGTGCCCTCGTCGATGTAGCCGTAGCTCCACTCCTCTCGCCCTCTCCACCCGAAGCGCACGCCAGGCCCATGTCGCGATGACGCCAGCGCTGGCTCCTGACGCCGCGTGGATCGCTCAGCCTCGAGCCATCGCGGCAACCCGACGGTCGGAGCCCCCCTGAAACCGAACACGGTAGACCGGGACATCCAGCACCCCTCGAATCCGTGTTTTGCTCTATCGAGGCGGCGGCACGAAAGAAAACTGCACGGCAGCGTCCCCGGGATCTCACCAGCCAGCCCTCTGGGCGCAGGTGGCCCACAGACCCCCGACGTCATGGTCTTTTTCAAAACGTCGACCCCCAGAGGCCTGGTCCCAATCCCTGGCTTCAGCTTTTCAGCCAGAGTCGTTGTTTCGCGGTCCCGCAGCCCTGTGAGGACCCTGAGAGGCCGAACATAACGAAAAACCTTCCGTCGTGTTTTTCTTCACGACGCGAGGGGGTCTGGGTCAAACGAGATCTTTCTCTCCACATCCAGAACCCCTTTCTTCGCCTTCGGGGAGGGGTTTGATCCTCCCCCTCCCCCATTCGCAATGGTCTGGCTCCAAGTGCTCTCGTTGCCAGCCAAGGATATCCCTAAGGGTCCAACATCGTTCAAAAACCAGACAGGGAAATCAATGAATTGTGCCTTCTCGCCTCTTCGCGTCCGATGGGCCTCTGAGGCCCAAGAGCGCCCCAGGAGGGCCCCAAGATATGGTTTTGAGGGCTCTCGAAGGGGCGCCTGGATCAAGGATCCCCCCTTGGCCTTCAAGATGGCCCGGAGAGGCCCTCCAGGGCTCCCCAGGGACACCCAAGAGGGGCACCTAAGAGGGTCCCAAGATTCCCCAGACGAGCCCCAACCAGGGGCACTGAAAGCCCGCAAAACCCCCCACAGACCTGGCCAACGATCCTAACCCTGCAGCGCAGCAAGAAAAAGCAGACACTGGACGACCAAATTTGACTTTGCAGGACAAGGCGTCGTCTCCTCGGCTTGCCAACGTCTTGGCTAGTTTAGAAGAACAAAGAAGGCATAAACATAAGCTTGTGGGGTTCCGCACGGATTTCTTGGATCGGCGCTGGACCCCCATCCCTGGCGCGCGAAGCGCACCTGGGGCGGAGCCAGATATGCCGCCAGGGGGGCCAGCGCAGACCCAATACATCCGCGCGGGCCGTCGGAAATTTGTGTTTATGTAGATTTTAATGCTTCGATAACCTTTGCCCTGGTCTCCATGGGCCTTCGACCGCGAAGACCGCTCGATGCCTGCCGACCCTGGGCACCTGGCGACGTGGAGACCTGGACGACCAAACCTGACCTTGTAGGAAAGGGTGTCGTTTTCCCGACTTGCCAACGTCCTGGTCTAAGTCCAAAGCCTGGCCTCCAAGGTGGCCTGATACCGCGCAGATCCCTCGATGCCGGACGACTCGGGGCACGTGGAGAGAGAGAGAGAACAAAAAAATGCCCTTGCGAAGAATCCAACCCATTCCACGGCCATGGAACGACCATCATGAACACTCAATGCACAAGAACTCGATAAAGGGGGCCCCGCAATGCCCCTGATAAATTCGCTAAAGAACTTCGGAACAGGCTCGGGACGCATTCGAACCCTCCTAGTGGGGCCTTCGGTGGAACTCCCAGTGGTGGGTCTACAAAAAGTATAACGGGATCTGCCACCATGGGGCGTGTAACCATGTGAACCCTGCCACTGGGGCCCTCGGTTGAGCTCCCCAGGGGCCACGAAGAGTGTGAAGGGTCTGCCGAAAATAGGCGGGTACCCACGTGTACCCTGCCACTGGGGTCCTCGGTGGAGCCCCCATCTGGGGCCACGAAGCGTGTGAGGGATCTGCTGACATGGGGCGGGTACCCATGTGAACCCTGCCACTGGGGCTCTGGGGCCACGAAAAATGTGAGGGGTGTGCCGACATGGGGCAGGTACCCATGACTGGGTCCCTCGGTGGAGCTCCCCATGGGGCCACGAAGTGTGTGAGGGGTCTGCCGAAATCGGGCGGGTACCCCTATGAACCCTGCCACTTGGGCCCACGAAGCGTGTAAAGGGTCTGCAGGCATGGGTCGGGTACTCATATGATCCCTGCCGCTGGGGCCCTCGGTGAAGCCCCCATATGGGGCCACGAAACGTGTTAGGGGTCTGCCGACATGGGGCGGTTACCAATGTGAACCCTGCCACTGGGGCCCTCGGCGGAGCCTCCTGCGGGGCAACGAAACGTGTGAGGGCTTTGCCGACATTCGAAACGGCAAAATCGAAGGAGAAGATGAGGCCTCCTGCGCTGCTAGAGCCGTCCCTGGGGCCTTCGGTACGAACCGTGTGAGGGGTGTGACGAACCTGTGGTGGTCATGATGGTGGTGATTGATATCAAGACGATGATGCTGACGAGAAGGAGGAGGCGGAGGAGGGAAGGAAGAGGAGGAGGAGGAGGAGGAGGAGGAGGAGGAGGAGGAGGAGGAGGAGGAGGAGGAGGAGGAGGAGGAAACAGAGGAGGAGGAGGAGGAGGAGGAGGAGGAGGAGGAGAAGGAGAGGAGAAAAAGGAGACGGAGAAGGACGAGACGTGCGGCGCTGCGAATTCAAAACGGGGACCCGAAGATCGGGGACATTAGCCTGACGAAAGACCTAACCATATGCAACTGCGAATGCCGCATGGTGGGTACCGCTTTCCGTGAAGCTCCCTATGTGGCCATGAAGCGTGCGAGGGGTGCGCCGAAATCGGTGGCGCGGGCGCATGCGGACCCTGCCACTGAAGGCTTCGGCGGAGCTCCGTATGGGGCCACGAAGCGCTGCGCTGGGTGGCGGTGACGCATGCGGACGCTGCCACTGGAGCCTTCGGTGGAGCTCCCTATGGGGCCACGAAGCGCTGTCCTGGTTGGCGGTGGCGAATGTGGACCCTGCCACTGGAGCTATCGGTGGAGCTCTCTATGGGGCCACGAAGCGCTGTCCTGGGTGGCGGTGACGCATGCGGACCCTGCCACTGGAGCTCCCTATGGGGCCATGAAACGTGCGAGGGGTGCGCCGAAATCGGTGGCGCGGACGCATGCGGACCCTGCCACTGAAGCCTTTGGTGGAGATCCCTATGGGGCCACGAAGCGCTGTCCTGGGTGGCGGTAAAGCATGCGGACCCTGCCACTGGAGCCTTCGATGGAGCTCCGTATGGGGCCACGGAGCGCTGTCCTGGGTGGCGGTGACGCATGCGGGCGCTGCCACTGGAGCCTTCGATGGAGCTCCCTATGGGGCCACGAAACGCTGTGCTGGGTGGCGGTGACGCATGCGGACCCTGACACTGGAGCTTTCGGTGTAGCTCCCTATGGGGCCACGAAGCGCTGTCCTGGGCAACGGTGGCGCATGCGGACCCTGCCACTGGAGCTTTCGGTGGAGCTCTCTTTCGGGCCACGGAGCGCTGCCCTGGGTGGCGGTGCCGCATGCGGACCCTGCCACTGGAGCTCCCTATGGGGCCACGGAGCGCTGCCCTGGGTGGCGGTGCCGCATGCGGACCCTGCCACTGGAGCTCCCTATGGGGCCACGACGCGCTGTCCTGGGTGGAGGTGGCGCATGCGGGCCCTGCCACTGGAGCCTTCGGTGGAGCTCCCTATGGGGCCACGGAACGCTTTCTTGGGTGGCGGTGACGCATGCGGACGCTGCCACTGGAGCCTTCGGTGGAGCTCCCTATGGGGCCACGAAGCGCTGTCCTGGGTGGCGGTGGCGCATGCGGGCCCTGCCACTGGAGCTTTCGGTGTGGCTCCCTATGGGGCCACGAAGCGCTGTACCCTGCCACTGGAGCCTTCGATGGAGCTCCTTATGGGGCCACGGAGCGCTGTCCTGGGTGACGGTGACGCATGCGGGCGCTGCCACTGGAGTCTTCGATGGAGCTCCCTATGGGGCCACGAAGCGTTGTGGCGGTGACGCATGCGGACCCTGCCAATGGAGCTTTGAGTGGAGCTCCCCATGGCGCCACGAAACGCTGTGCTGGGTGGCGGTGACGCATGCGGACCCTGCCACTCGAGCCTTCGGTGGAGCTCCCTATGGGGCCACGAAGCGCTGTCCTGGGTGGCGGTGACGCATGCGGGCCCTGCCACTGGAGCCTTCGGTGGAGCTCCCTATGTGGCCACGAAACGTTGTCCTGGGTGGCGGTGACGCATGCGGACGCAGCCACTGGGGCCTTCGGTGAAGCTCCACAAGGGTCCACGAACCGTGTGAAGGGTGTGCCGTAATGCGCGGCGGTGACGCATGAGGACGCAACCACTGGGGCGTTCGGTGGAGCTCCCTATGGGGCCACGAACCGTGTGAAGGGTGTGCCGAACTGGGCGGCGGTGACGCATGAGGACGCAACCATTGGGGCCTTCGGTGAAGCTCCCTATGGAGCCACGAACCGTGTGAGGGGTGTGCCGTGATGGGTGGCGGTGGCGCATGGGACGCAGCCACTGGGGCCTTCGGTGGGGCTCCCTATGGGGCCACGAACCGTGTGAGGGATGTGCCGAACTGATGATGGTGATGATGATGACGATGATGGTGGCGACGGTGATGCTGATGATGGGGAGAGGGGGGGGAGGGCAGCGGGAAGAGGAGGAGGACGAGGAGGAGGGACGCGCGGCGCTGTCTCTTCAAAACGAAGGCCCAACACCACAGGATGGTTGGGACAAATGATGAGGAGCGGAACAAGCCTGTTTATGGGAAGAAGCTTGGAACGGGATCGTTGACGAAATCAACACAACGTTTCTACTCGACAGGGGTCGGGGCCTCACACCAATATTGAACCTGTCGAGGATTGCCCTACGTTTTTTTCCCGGGTACAGTGTGGGGACCTTGGACTGCCCAACCCCCTCGGCAATTGGGTGTGGGGGACGCATGCGGGCGGCCCCACTGGGGGCTTCGGTGGAACTCCCTATGGGGACACGAAGCGCCGTACCCGGCCGGTGAAAATGCGAATGTGTGTGTGTGTGTGTGTGTGTGTGTGTGTGTGTGTGTGTGTGTGTGTGTGTGTGTGTGTGTGTGTGTGTGTGTGTGTGTGTGTGTGTGTGTGTGTGTGTGTGTGTGTGTGTGTGTGTGTGTGTGTGTGTGTGTGTGTGTGTGTGTGCGTGCGTGTGCGTGCGTGCGTGCGTGCGTGCGTGCGTGCGTGCGTGCGTGCGTGCGTGCGTGCGCGTGCGTGCGTGGTGCGTGCGTGCGTGCGTGTGGTGGTGGTGGTGGTGGTGGTGGTGGTGGTGGTGGTGGTGGTGGTGGTGGTGGTGGTGGTGGTGGTGGTGGTGGTGGTGGTGGTGGTGGTGGTGGTGGTGGTGGTGGTGGTGTGGGGGGGACGCATGCGGGCGGTCCTACTGAAAGCTTCGGTGGGGTTCCCTGTGGGGGACGCATGCGGGCGGTCCCACTGGGGGCTTCGGTGGAGCTCCCCATGGGGCCACGAAGCGCTGTACTGTGCGGGTGAAACTGCCAAATTGGGTCCAGCTGGGGGCTTCGGTGGGGCTCCGTATGGGGCCACGAAGCGCTGTACTGGGTGGGTGACAATGCCAAGTTGGGTGTGGGTGACGCATGCGGGCGGTCCCACTGGGGGGCTTCTGTGGAGCTCCCTATGGGGTCACGAAGCACTGTACTGGGTGGGTGACAATGCCAAATTAGGCGTGGGTGACGCATGCGGGCGGTACCACTGGGGGCTTCGGCGGGACTCTCTATGGGGCCACGAAGCGTTGTACTGGGTGAGAGAAAGTGCAAGATTGGGTGTGGGTGACGCATGCGGGCGGTCCCACTGGGGGCTTCGGTGGGGCCCCCTATGTGGCCGCGAAGCGTTGTACTGGGTGGGTGAAATTACTAAATTATGTGTGGGGGTGACGCATGCGGGCGGTCCCACTGGGGGCTTCGGTGGGGCTCCCCATGGGGCCACGAAGCGCTGTGCTGGGTTGGCGAAAATGCAAAAATTTGGTGTGGGGGACGCATGCGGGCGGTACCACTGGGGGCTTCGGTGGAGCTCCCTACGGGGCCACGAAGCGCTGTACTCGGTGGGTGAAAATGCCAAATTGGGTGTGGGGGACGAATGCGGGCGGTGGCACTGGGGCCTTCGGTGGGGCCCCCTATGGGGCCACGAAACGTGTGAGGGATATGCCGTAATGGGTGTGGGGGGCGCATGCGGGCGGTGGAGAGGAGGAGGGGGAGGAGGAGAGGAGGAAAGGAACGCGGGGACCGCCTCTTCAAAACGAGGACCCAACACCACAGGACGGTTGGGACCCCCCCCCCACCCCACCCCCCCACCCCGCTCTCCCTTGCACGGCCTCGGGCTCTTCGCACCAAGAGCCCAACCACTAGACCCTCTGTGCCGCGGAGGCGCTGCAGCAGCACCTGAAGCGCCGCGCTCCTGACACGCCCGAGGCGTGCTGCGAGGTCATGGCAGATACAACACAGCTCTCGGGGCGGGGGGGGGGCAGCAGCGCTGGCAGACGAGGGCGCGCCACGATTTCCAAGCCTCGCCGACCGCTGTATGGAATGCTGGGCCGTCGCCGCAGACAACGTTGCTCTCAAGACTCGTTTGCGCACCAATCTGGCCTTCGCCGCTGAATTATTCACCTGGAAACGACCAGCTTCGGACAATCTCGCTTCTGTTGCAACATCGTCAGTCAGAGCATCTGCCACCGCGTCCCCTTCGAATGCGCAACTCGGGAGAGTGCCTCGAGCAATGTCGCAATTGCGAAACAGCTTGCACGAGTGCGACCTGCTTCTCCTTATCCAAAACCAAGTCGCCCGAACAAGCGCCATGTGCCAGCCAGTTCGCATGAGGGGTGACGATACTTTTGACTGAACCATCCTCTCACACTTTCTTCGTTATCGTGATAAAAACTAGATGCCCCAGAAAAGCTTTCAAACTGCCTCGGAAGCTTTCGAATCCGAGATAAGGTCCGAAGCCCTAGCTGAGTGGCGGAATCATCGACCTCGCTATTGACCACCCTCGCTTCCAAATGGGAACCAAACAATGCCAACTTGCTCGCGGGGAGCGTGACCGTAACCTCTTAGGCCATCAAACGATCCACGTCCGTCCATCTTCCCCAGTCTCTAGCGCGCCCTGTGCCCATTCGCACTGCCGAGCCCCGAAGTCTCAAACACTGCCCTGAACGACGCCAAATATCGAACCAAACGGCACTATGGCAGAATACGGGGTAAACGTGGTATAATGCCAACGGATCCTGGTATAATGTCATGTGCTTTGGGGCCTGGCCCGCATGCGGAGACTAACGATGCAAGGGCAAGTTCGGTACAATACCAAACGCAGTCGGTGCAATACCTAGCTTTCCGGTACTTTACCAAACTATCCCATCACGATCCCAACACATTCCAGTGCGATTCATGTGTTCACAGCATGGTGCCAAGTTATCCTGGAATGATGCCGAGCGTCTTTTGGGACGGTATCTGGGAATCCCGTGGATGGGGGAAGCGATGCGGCGAGGGGGGGTGACGCGCGCACAGGACTGTGCTTGGAAGCGAAAGCGGGGAGGTAAATCTTCTTCTGAGTAACGGCAGTATGTTAGAAGTCCGTGCTGTTAGAGGAGGATGAGGAGAAGGAGAAGGATAGACGAGGAGGAGGAGGAGGAGGAGGAGGAGGAGGATAGATGAGGAGGATGAGGGGAGGTCAGACGAGGAGGATGAGGAGGCATATTGGAGCCTGTATCAACCTGCGGCATTAATCCTGCCCTCTGTGGAAAAACCGAGAACGGGCAGTTCGCCAATCGACTTGACACGGTGCAGGTCGTCATCAGCTTCAAACGCTCGTCCTGCCCCCTCTCGCCCGACCCCCCCCCCGCCCTGCCCCCCCCCCCAGCCGCGGTAGTCCTTTGCCCCCTCTTTTCGTCCCTCCCTCTGCCTTCCTCCTCTCTCCCTCTCTGCCTCTGCCCCCCCCCTGGTGCATGCCTCCTCCCTGCCCTCCTCCTTCCCTCTGCCTCTCTCCCTGCCTCCTCCTCTCTCTCTGCCCCCCTCCCTCCTCCCTCCTCCCTCCTCTCTCCCTCTGACTTACTCCTCTCTCCTTGCCCCCCCCTGGCGCATGCGCACCCGCCCCTCCCCCCCATCCCGTTTCGCTGCCTGCCCTTCGCCCTCCCCTCCCCTCTCGATGCGTCTCTGAGGAGCAGCGAGAAGGAGGGGACTGGCATACGGGGGGGGGGAACATCTCGACCTTGAACCGGCGATGAATCGCCGAACGATCGGCGATGGGCCCCCGATAGCAAGTCCGCAAGCTCCTCGGGAGGCGTGGGCCGTCGGGCCCCAATCGGCGATCAAGGGGCGATTGGGGGGTCGAGTGCGTCCCCCCCTGTGCCCACCGCCCCCCGTCGTGGCCCCGGAGCTCCCCCGGGGTCCTCGCCGTAGACCTCCACCGCGCCGTGGAACGCACCTGCGCGGGCGTCTGGGCCGCGCTGCGCAGCCAGACCCCGCCGGCCGGCACGAGTCGCCGCGCTCGGAGGGGGGGGGCGGGCACCGCCCGAGCTCGAGGGGCGGAGCGCCCCCGGGGGGAGCGGGCGCCGCCAGAGGCGGCGCGTGGTACTGAGGCCGAGGCAGGCCTATTGAGGGCACCGTGGGCTACACACTGGCCATCGCTCGGACGTCCATTCCCTGTGTTTTTTTCGGATTCGTGCGTGGTTGTTTCGCCAATTGATCAAGGATGCTCCTCGATGGTCCTCGCCGAAAATGCACACGTCCGAGCGATGCCAAGCATACCGGCTGATAGAGTTCAGAAGCTTGCAAGTTAAGAGAGGGGGCCTCACTCCAGGCGTTTTTCTGAAGCCGCAGTCCAGGTCCAGATCCACAGCCGTGACGCGAGGCGCGAGGTGGAGGCACCCGCAAGCCCTCGTGTGTCCTCTGCTCTCTGCACTCGGGACTCTGAGATTCTACTCTTCGAAGGGCTGGGGCCCAAAGTAGACAAACTTCCCGTGCGTTCCCGCGCGCTCCTGGGCTGCCCCGCGTGACGTTTCCAGAAGCCAGAGGGCTCCAATACGGTCCAAGAGGGCCCCAGAAAGCGCCCAAGAGGGTCCAATAGGCCTTCAAGACAGCCCAAGAGCGCTCCAAGACGCCCAAAATGGTCCCAAGACGGCCCAGGAGGCCCCAAAGAAGGCCCAACAGCGCTCCAAGAAGGCCCAAACAGGCAACCACCATTGATGTTTCGTGTTTGTTATGTATTTTTCGCGTTCTTGCGTGTTCGGGCTTCCGACGCTCCACGATGGCCCCAGAGGCCCCCAAGACCGCCCCATGACGGCCCAAGGGGTCCCCAAGAGGGCCCCCAAACAGCCCTTTACATTAACACCTCTATACTTAGCCAGCTTTGTACTGAGAGCTTGGGGGGACCTTCAAAGGGGGTCAGGCGGAGCTGGAGCGACAACCCTACAGTAAATCAAAAGCAACAAGCATACTCAAACACGGCACTGAAGATCCGACGCAGCAGCAGGAGCGTCCAGGAAGGTGCCGCGAGCGCGCCTAGAGGGGGAGGTCGCGATTTCGGCGGCTAGAAACATTGACGATGTTACTGTAAAAGTGTGTTTGGAAAACGCGTATTTACATTAACACCCCTCTACTTAGCCAGCTTTGTACTGAGAGCTTGGGGGGACCTTCAAAGGGGGTCAGGCGGAGCTGGAGCGACAACCCTACAGTAAATCAAAAGCGACGAGCACACTCAAACACGGCACTGAACATCCGACGCAGCAGCAGGAGCGTCCAGGAAGGTGCCGCGAGCGCGCCTAGAGGGGGAGGTCCCCCCACGAGGTGTTAGAAGGCGTGGCCGAGCCACCTAGGGCCCAAACCTCGAGCGGTGCCTGACCTGGCCACAAGGCCACACAAGGCCCGCGAGAAACTCGGAAACGCATCAGTCCCAAGGGTGATAGCCCCAGGGTCGGAGTGGCGGGGCCGAAACTGCAGCCATAAAATACAATAAGAAGGGTGGCGATTTCGGCGGCTAGAAACATTGACGATGCTACTGTAAAGGTGTGTTTGGAAAACGCGTATTTACAGTAACACCTCTATAATTAGCCAGCTTTGCACTGAGAGCTTGGGGGGACCTTCAAAGGGGGTCAGGCGGAGCTGGAGCGACAACCCTACAGTAAATCAAAAGCGACAAGCACACTCAAACACGGCACTGAACATCCGACGCAGCAGCAGGAGCGTCCAGGAAGGTGCCGCGAGCGCGCCTAGAGGGGGAGGTCCCCCCACGAGGTGTTAGAAGGCGTGGCCGAGCCACCTTGGGCCCAAACCTCGAGCGGTGCCTGACCTGGCCACAAGGCCACACAGGGCCCGCGAGAAACTCGGAAACGCATCAGTCCCAGCCCCAAAATGTCGAGACTGGCATACTTGCCAAAACACCAGCCTTGCAACAGATGAGGGAGGGAGGGTAAGGGTTATTCATCTAGTTGTGCTCCAGCCCCCCTGTGAATAAACAACCCCGGTCCGAATGTCGTTCTGATCTTTACTTTGAGGTACGACGGGGGATGGCAGGGGGCACGTCAACCTGCCTCCAGGCACGCACCGACTATATCAAAAGATAAGTCTGATAATAGAATCAACACACACACACACGAGAGTGCTGGCCTCTGACCCGCCAAAAGGGCTGGGCTTTGCCACGCACGCAAATCAATGAAATCGTACTGTCAAGTCCAAACTCAGGACTCTCGTGCGGCGCTTGTCTTGCGCCTGTGTCGAGTGCGAGAGGCGGTGCTGGGGCGGCCTGTCGTCAGCGCCCGTCCCCCGTCAAACCTCGGGAGCTCGACCTCCTGGCCGCGCGCGCGCTCCAGCTCCTCCAGCAGATGACCTGCCAGTGGGGTCTGAGCGGCGGGCGACTCCTTGATCCATCCAATCAGCGCCTCAGCAGGCGCCGACCAGAAGCTCACGCCTGCACGCACCTGCCCGTCAGTCATCTTGCCCAGCTGGCTGATCAGCATGTGGGTCTTCGTGTAGCGCGCCAGCGCTGCCGTCGTCTGCCACCTGCCTTTGCGGCGGGCAGCCGCCAGGCAGCCGCCTTCGGCCGCGAAGCTGGCTGCCCCCGAGTGCCGCATGGCGCGCGGGGGGGCCATGCCAGCAAGCCCTTCGTCGCCCAGCGCCTTGTGCCACTCGCGCCTGAACTTGTCCTGCGAGACGGGGAAGACGAGGTCCCTGCGAGCGCAGCCCCGCAGCAGGGCGCGCACCACGCCCGCTGTCACTGGCCATGAGATCACCACGCCCTCGTTCGAGCCCGTCTTGACCTTCTCCCCTCTCTCGCGTCTGCCCAGGGTGAAAGCCAGCTGGCCCCCAGGTCCCTCGGACGCGTCCTCGGCCCTGAGCTGGCCCCGGCCCCGCTCCCTGAGCCGGCCGTCCAGCTGCGCGAGCACCGCCGCCCCCTCGATCAGGCGGCCAGTGCGGAACATCCTGCCGATGACCAGGCCGGCCGCCTCCATGGGGACAGGCGCGCCTTCGCCCAACTGCCCCAACTTCTGCCACGACTTCAGCGCCCTGGCCGATGTCGGAAGCCGGCCCCTGTGGTCCTGGAACACGTGCATGAAACCGTTGAACAGCACATTGGCTCGCCCGAAGCCCAGCTGCCGCACGTAGCACATGTCGGAGATGTAGTCCGCCAGCGCTTGGCCCCTCGCCTCGAAGGTGTCAAAGTCCAACTGGTTCCTCTTGACGTCGACCAAGAACTCGCGCACGGCCTTCTGGTAGACCAGGTTGGTCGCGTCGTCCACGGCGTGGATGACCAAGCGATTCGTGTAGAGCAGCCTGTCACGCTGCGCCTCGCCTCAAGCCCGCGCTCCTTTCTTGACCAGAGGCGGCGGGGCACTCGTAACCTTTGCTCTGGTCGAACGTGGACTCGGGCTGCCTCGATTCCCCACGGCTCCCCCTTGCGCCACCTGCACCCCGAAGGCTACAGATGTGCCGACCCAGCGCCAGTGTCTTGATGAGCCTGCCGCTGATGCAAGCGCAGCTGTAGTTGCTGTGGGACGCCTCGGGCCACGTGCAGCTTGACCGTCTCCTCCGCCGCGCCGATGGGCAGCCCCCTCGACGGCCCGTCCGCAAGCTTGAGCTCCGACGGGGCCCATCGGTAGTAGCCTCTGATCCTGCAGACCATCTGGATGATGCCCGCAATGCGGCAGAGGTGCAGCACGTCCTTCGCTGATGAGCGGCCCTTCTGCAGCGCGCCCAACGACGCCAAGGAGTCCGTGAAAATCAAAATCCTGTGGCCCCAGGCCTGAGATGTCCTGCTCAGGTGCCTCAGAGTGGCCACTACTGTCCGCAGCTCCAGGATGTTGTTGTGCTCCTGGTGTCCCCGCTTCCCGCAGAGCAAGACGTGCCAGCGGCACTGCAACCAAAGGCTCCTCAACGGTGTCGTGGTACCCGCCGCCTTGACGATCTGTGGTCGACCTCCTCTCAGCCTCAGCCTTGCCCCTGAGGGCATCGTCTCCCAGGAAGGCTCGAGCTGCCCCACGATCTCCGCGCAGCATCTGCATAGCTCGAGAGGGTACGCGCACGCCAGCTTGGTCCACCTGAGTCCGCACGGCGACTTGCCTCTCAACGCTTGATGAGGCTTCTGAGTACGACTGCAACACCGAAAAGTACCAGTACACCTCCTCGCTAGTCTGGTCATCTCCCTCATACTCGTGACGAAAGCAGTGGGCTTCTTCCAGGCCTCCCCGAACGCACAATAGTCCAGCTCCACTCTCCAGACGTCCATCTTCGATAGGACTTCCACGAGGGGCGGGAAGGTCCAGATGTAGCTGCCTGCTGGGTTCTCCAGCGTGAAGGGCATTGCCATGGTGCCGCAGATCTTCAGCACCTCCACCGCCACCAAGCACAGCAGGTTCCCCTCCTCGAGCTTGGCCTGACTCGCCCCCTCGAGTTCGGGGAGACCCCAGATGTGCTCCGCCGATCGCAGGGGCGGGGCACGCGCATTCGAGAACGTAGCACAGGGCGGCGCGATATGTGCACCCACCAGAACCACCCTTGGCGCACCCGTCTCAGCAGCAGCTCCAGGTTGTCGCTGACCAGCACGTCGTACTCGACCCCCTCCGAGATGTCCCACGCCTCTCCCCAAGAGTTCGTGATCTCCTTGATGGCATCCAGCAGCCTCGACGAGCCCGAGAACAGCTCCAGCACCCCAGGTCGTCCCTCCCGTGGTCGTGAAGGTAGGTCCTCTTCGTCGCCGACTGCCTCCACCTCTCTCTCCATCTCGGTGTAGGTCTCCTCCACCTGGGGTCCCCAGAGCCCCTCGGTCCCCCGAGCGGCCTCCGCACGTGCTTCCTCGGGGTCGCAATCGCAAGCTAAGGATCCATATCCACTCTCCGAAGCGTCGGTCATGTAGGCTCGTGGCCACCGCGGCGCCTCCAGGTCCGACTCCATGTAGATCGAAAGGTTCACCACAGCCGAAAGCTCGCTCTT